ATTTAATGACGTCTTGATGGTTCTCTTTCCGGACCCGCTGAATGTGGAAAACGCATTGTGAAAGAATGTTCTGGCGTATTTGCTGAGATGTGGCCCAGTGAAACAAGAGCAGCAGATGGATGTTGGGGTTTTTTTTTTTGTTTTGTTGGCGCTGCGTTGTTATCGTCTGGCCTCGATGGCAAACTCCGTCACTCGGTGGTCCGGCTACGACTTCATCCTCCCGTCCCCCATCTCGATGACCAGAGTTCGTGTCATATATACCTCGACAAGCTAAGCGGCGTGAAGCATGTGTAGTGACTCAAAGACACTAGGAGTAGGAGGCACTCTGGTTTATTAACACGGCCTGACAGTAACACTTAGTAACTACGGTTCCCATGTCAATACAGCTGGCAGACTGCCTCACTGGTGACACCGAGATGGTGAAGACGGAGACGACGGCAAAGACTCCAGCAGCACAACGGGGATCCCACTCCACACGACAGCCCCGAGGTCCCCTCCCAGGGCCCCTCTTTTACGGTCAGCGTGGCCTGGCTCCGCCCCCGGCCACGCCCCCCTTCTGGAACCTACGAGCGGGCTCTCGATGTGACCCTTCCGTGACCTTTCCCCTCGATCCCTCTCCGGTCTATCACGTGGCCTGCTGTCAGTTAGGGCTGCTGTGAGCTGCAGATCCCCTTCCCTGCCAGCATCCAGCGCTATGCTTCTACGTGACCGATTCTATGTCATTACACTTGTATAGTGAGTTTCTTGATTTCCGGATGACCGCTGCCAAGTATTTTCTGTATTTTGATTTAGTGTGCTGATCTTAAAGGTGCATTGAAAAATGTGATACTCCGACTGATGCTCCTGTTGTTGTGGAGTGACTCATGCAGCCAGCTATGGCTACAGGGTTTTGATGTTACATGTTGTTTATGTCGTTAATTGTGAAAATTCGGTCACAGTTCCTATGATCACTGTTACATTGCTTTTATGGCTTTATTTTGGTGATTTCGAAATGTTTTTTGGTTTGGCCATGTTTGTTTGTTGTAGTATGGAGTAAGACTGATGGCCTAAATCTAAGTTGTCTTGTGGTCGTTGTTGTTGTTGTTGTTTGACTTGCATCCCACTGGGATTTTTGCACACAGCGTTGGTCAATGGTGCTTTTTTCAGGAATATTTTGATGTTTTTTTCCTGGATTTTCTGTTTGCACAGTCACATAGTCATTTTAAGATGTTTTCTTGTTCCTGTTTTTTGTGTGTTGCGGTTGCACCCAATTCAAGAGCCGAATGGCTCACAGGGCTATACCAAAATAAATGAAACTGAAATGTAACTGAAAACTGAAACCTGAACAAGTGGGTTCCTGGATGCTGGATGGGGTGGCCACCCCTGCATGAAATAAACACAGGCTACTGCGGGTGGAGTAGCTATGTTGCGGGCAGCAGCGGCGGCAGCAGTGTGCGGGTAAAGATAATTAAAATTGTTGCACAGTACTTTAATTCTATGTCTAGGCGCCCACGTCTATGCTCAACCGCTATACGCTAGCACCCGCGCGGGACTGGGCAGTGTGATGAACTGTGGTCAAATACCGCGGGGGAGGCCTTCATCCAGCAGTGGATTGACGTTTAAAGGGCTGTAAGTGTGCGCGCTTTTCAACATTGCCTGTTTAAATCAATTATTATTGGACACACTAAACACAAACATGTATGTACAGTATATTGTATTTTGATTCAAAGCGTTCGTGACTGCAGGGATTCATATTCTTGGTTCTTTCGGTAAAGTCACGTAGAAGGGAAACAATAAAATAAAAAAAATATATATCTTCTTTGGTTCTTTCGGTAAAGTCATGTAGAATGATAATAAAATAATAAATTGATAAAATAAAATAACACAATAATATTCTCACGACGTTTCGGCCACAACACAAGCGGCCTTCATCAGACAGTCTCGCCCCCCTTCACCTGATGAAGGCCGCTTGTGTTGTGGCCGAAACGTCGTGAGAATATTATTGTGTTATTTTATTTTATCAATTTATTATTTTATTATCATTCTACGTGACTTTACCGAAAGAACCAAAGAAGATGAATCATTGCAGTCACGAAAGCTTTAAATCGAAATAAAAAATATATAAAACAATAAAACTTCTCCAAGCCAGAGGTTATTTGCAAACCATCTGGTTACCATGAGAGATTCGTTCATGAGGCTATCCACATATACAAACACAGAGACAATTTCAACCGAGAAGATGGATTCTGGCCTAGCGATCATTGGAAGGATTTGATAAACTATTTCGGGTTTTAATTGATTGATCACGCTTAAGGTGGCTTTCAGACCGCATCCATTATTTTTCGTCTCCCCCCTCCTCTTTTCCGAACATAGATGGACTCGTCCATCTGAACAAACTGTCAAATCGCTCTCCGTGGTGCTAACATTTAAAAATAACTGCCACTTTTTTCAAATCTTCTTGTTGTGGTTTTCACACCTGATGATGATGATTGCTTGTGTTGCAGTCGAAACGTCGTGAGAATTTTTTTTTATATTTTTATTATTTTATTGTTTCCCTTCTACGTGACTTTACCGAAAGAACCAAGAATATAGTATATTGTATTTTATGAGATATATCTGTTTATTTATTGCCAACATAAATTCAAACTTTATTTTCGAACCCCGGGCATGGAAACATCAGTGTAGCAAAGTGATATTTCAACCTGTCCCAGCCACCCCCTAGGTCTACTCATCCAAAAATCTATAACTGATGTGAGTAAACCTCGGCACTGAGAAGGCAAAAGGCGGTCATGCGTGGTACTTATTGTCCACGACATTCTCTTGTGCCCCGTGACGACATCAAAAGGTGTTCGCTGACAGCACTTGCCTCTGCAGACTACAAATTCTATCCGGGGTATCTGTGTGTGTCTGACGATGATGCACATAATACAATATTTCTTATCAATCGCCCTTTGTCAACCCACTGCTAGATTAACGGCTCCCCGCATGGTGTTGGTCGTAGGAGTTGTTTGACCAAACCGTACCTTTGTGGGGAGCGGTAGTATAGCGCTATGAACCTGGCGAGCGAGTGACAATTATTTGAACCGGTCCTGGGCCTCCCCTAGATTCGACTCAGCTTCAACTGAGTATGTGGTGTGGTGTGTAAAACATTGCCACTAGGGAGACAAAGGCGGCCGGGCGTGGTTTTGGCCGTACTGGCCTTCAAAGGTGCTCGCTAACAGCACTTGCCTTACAAGGTCCTAGCCACAAATGAACCACAATACCTTGCTGAACAAGTCAAGTAGCATAAACCAACACGCAAACTCCGGTCATCCTCGCAGCAGCAACAGCTTTCGGCTCACCATCGAAAATAGATGGTCACCGCATCGCGCGCTTTCAGATGCGCTTCTGCGGCCGTCTGGAACGCTCTTCCTTCCGATATTAGGAAGCCACTGGAGCTATGCACGTTTGAATCTAGATTGACAAACTCACCGTCCATAAATGACGTCACGCACCTAGGGGGAGGGGGGTCAGACATTTGTGACGATGTGTGACGAGGGGGGGGGGGGTTGAGAAATGTGACGTCACATCAAAATGCGCAACTTTAAATAAATATAGACAACACGTTCTACTTAATTAAATAGACTTTTTAATAAATGTTTTCTCTTACAACATCAGAGTGCAGCGCCACGTTAAATAAGCACTACAATGACAATAGTTTAAAGCGATTTGAAGCATGTTTTATTTTCAAAATGGAAATATGGTGTGGGGGGGGGGCAGAGCTTTGTGACGTCATATTTGAGGGGGGGGGGTCTGACTTTTTGTGACGCCGTGTGACGAAGGACGGCCCCTTTCTTTAGAACTGCTTTGTGTGTTTAGTTTGTTGTCCTTCCCTGATACCTCCGATTAGCACGGTTGGCTACGTACGGTGCGAAAGACGTTCAACATACATACATACAAACCATGCTGGCAAGGGTTCGTGAAAGGGACCGCCCACCGGAAATGGTTGGGATATCACTCGCCACTGATGTCAGCCGTGTTCGGGAGCGGTCGAACCGCTATGCCAACGCAGTGCGTCAAGTGGCCATTGGTATTGGGATGTGTACACATATTAATTTTATTTCATGACGTAGCACCTCCTTAATAGGTGCGAGCTAACAGCACTTGAATGACACCCACACACAATCACATCATCTTCTTACCCACGGGATGAGAGGGAGGATAACTTTATCATTCCTGAGTACGTATTAGCATTTCCAAATATCTTGGTGGGCCACAGCATTAACACAAATACAAAGATCCCCCGTATAGCCTTAACAGACTGTAGGGGCAAGTGCTGTTAGCGAGCACCTATAAAGGCCGGCACGACACACGAGGGGGTGGGTGACCACCCCCACGCCCGACCGCCTTTGTCTCCCTAGTGGCGATGTTTACACACCGCACCAGGTACTCATTTGAGGCTGAGTCGACCTAGGGGAGGCCCAGGTACCGGTTCAGATCATCGTCACCGGTGTTTGCCGTGAGCGGGGAATCGAACCCGGGTCGCCGGGTTCGTAGCGCAGCGCGCTAACCGCTACGCCACCGCTCCCCTACACACGCCGATACCTCGGCCAGTGCAGCAATGGAAGTGATTGAGCGCGTTTAAATTAGCGACGCAGTTGTGTGCGTGTGTGGCGTGTTCCCGATTAGTCCGGCGAGTATGCTTGCAGCGACGGGCAAAAGACGACGACGCTGCGGAATTCCACGAAGGTCGCTTACAACGGCGCCAAAGCAGCTGCAATATCGCACGCGCCTCGAATCGCTCGCGACCCCATAGCGATCAAACCCTACAGCTTCTACTTTGTTTATTACTCTTTTTCTGCGTCGTTCGTGGCTCGTTTCGAAATGCGGTTGGTCCCCTTTGTAGCGGGTGGTGGGGGATGATGATGATGGGGAGGCGGAGGGGGGGTAATGAAATGAGGTCGCGGGCCGGAAATGTTCATCCCAGACAGCTCAACCCCGCTGCTAATGAGAAAAAAAAATGTTCCTCCACCCCACCCACTGAGTTAGTGGCATCATGAATCACAAGGCGGAGCGTATGCGTTGGCGGTGTGAGCTCGAGCGTGCGTGTATATTGCTATATAAGAAGCAGGCGAGAGTCATTCGTCTGAGCTGCTGTGTCTGCGCGCGCGCGTGTGTGTGCCCTTTAAACGGTGAGCAGTTTGGAGGCTCGGGACTGCGCGATTGCCCAGCTGCGTCTCGGGGTTTCCAATACGGCAACCGTATTGGCAGCGCGCATCGAATCCGTGCAGAACTCCCAACGGACTCAACACGTGGCGAGGGCCAACAGCACTCGCAGGCGGGCAAACTTTACGGCAGCAGTCGCAGAAGCAACTCGAGTACAACCGTGCCGCACTTATTTCAAACGATTTCCTGCGCCAGCTACGTCGACGAAATGGCAGTAACTCGTGAAGGATTCCTCGTGAAAAGGGTGAGTCTCTTCATTCGTTGATTCATTCAATCTCCAGTTCCCGTTGCCTCGCATTGCGGGTTGCTCTTTGTTTTGTTTTTGTTAAAGTGCGCTGGGACATTTGGCGCCCGCCATAGTAACGAGGAATTTCCACCGACTGTTTAATGGTCGTGAACAGGAGGAGACGACGGTGTGTGTGTGTGTTGTTGACGTTGTTCGCTGCTGTCGTTGGGCGCTGTGAACGCTTCATTTCATCCGGAACAGTCGGGGGGAACTCGAAGGAATAAATTTGGCACGAGGCATCACCCCCCCCCCCCGCCCGCTTTTTGTTCTCCTTCTCGTGCGCCTGTGCGCGGTGCTGTGTGCGGTGGTTGTGCAAGACACGTGTTTATGTATGTACTGTGCAGAACTTCTTTCACGCCGTACGTAGCCAGCCGTGCTAGTCCGGGGTTGTGGGGAGAAAGACAACAAACTAAACACACACAAAACAGTTCTAATCTAGATTTAATAAGCGCATAGCTCCAGTGGCTTCCTAATATCGCAAGGAAGAGCGTTCCAGACGGCCGCAGAAGCGCATCTGAAAGGTCGCGATGTGGTGACCGTCTTAGTTTGATGGCTGAGCCAAAAGCTGTTGCTGTTGCGAGGATGAGCAGAGTTCGCGTGATGGTTTGTGCTTGTGGCAAGCACTTTTGTGTGTAATTAGTGCAACCTTATAAAGACTGATGCGTAGCGTTACCAGATGTCATTGAGGACGGTAAGTTAATGCATCATAGGGTGCAATCATATAGGATTGGTATGGATAGGCGCCTCTTGTAGTCTAGTGGTAGTGTCTTACCCCGGTACCACTTGGTGGTCTTAAAACTTTCTTGCTAACAGCACTTACCCCAACAGCCTGCTCGAGGATATGGGGGCGGGGGGGGGTTCTGTCTTATACGTGCACTGTGGGGAGCGGTGGCGCAGTGGTTTGGGCTGAAATCAGCAGCCAGAATAAAGGCTCCCCCCCCCCCCCCCCCCCCCCCCCCCCACGTGGAATTCTGTCCCAGAACTCCAGAAACCTTGGCGGTCAAAGTTGCCCATACTTCACCACGCTGGTCGTCACATTATTGGTGTGCTCATGTTCTACTGACGTCCCCCCCCCCTCCCCCCCACCACAGGGTCACGTTGTTCACAACTGGAAGGCTCGCTGGTTCGTCCTGGACTCGAACCAGATCCTTTACTACCGGAGAGAGGGAGGGGGCAGCCCCATGTCCCTGAAGGGCTCCTTCCCACTGCAAGGGGTCACGGTTGAATCCCCCTGCCTGGAATTCAGCAACCGCACCGTGAGTATACGGCGGTTTTTTTTTCTCTGGAAGACTTTGCTGTCTTTTTCCTGGATTCTTCTGTTGCGTGCAGTCACTTTAAGACGTTTTCTTGTTCGTGTTTTTGTTTGTTGCGGTCGCACCCGAGTCAAGAGCCGCATGGCTCACAGGGTTATGCTGTACCTATTAAATATAAACTGAAACTGAGTAGATACATGCAAAGGCAAAGAACAAGCTTCCCCGTATAGCCTTTAACAAACTTCTGGGGCAAGTGCTGTTAGCGAGCACCCATTAGGGCCGCTCCCAGCCCACGGTGGAGTGGCAAACACCACGCCCGGCCGCCTTTGTCTCCCCACTTTTTTGTTTAAAACACCGCACCATGTACTCATTTAAGGCTGAGTCGACCTCAGGATAGGCACAGGACCAGCTCAAATATTCGCTCCTGATATCGGTCGCGAGTCGAACTCGGGTCGCCAGGGTTGGTAGTGCAGTGCCATGCTGGTGACCACTGCACCACAGCTCCCCCACACAGGCGCGTTCACATACTATTTAGTGTTTCGTACACACAGTGTTACATTCATACACGCAGATGCATCGGGGGTTCATTCATTAATGCAGACGTTGTATGCATGCACGGATCCACTGTCTGCACGCAGAGCTGACGATGTTACAATGTCTCCCTCTGTGAGCCGGAGTTGGACTTTAAAACAAAAGTTCCCTCTCTCACGCGAGGCCGGCTCCACGCGGAGACACAGACGCGATTCAGAATGGTGGCCACCGCTGAGGCTGGAGCGGAGGGAGGCGGTGGGAGGTGTGGATGACGTAGCGACAGACTTCATCTGGAAACTCTTACCGTGTGGTCATAGTGTGTGCAGACCGCGTCTCAGTGGCCCCAAGTACCCCCCTCCCCCATCCCACCAGTTGTGTCCTCATCTGTCCCGCTGTCTCCCTGTCTCTCACTGCCTATACACGTCTATCTGTGTTCTCACCATCTGTCTTGCACATGTATCTTTGAATGCCTCAAATATTCCTGTGCCTCCATGTCTCACTGTCTCAATATTTCCCGTCCCCGCGTATCTTTGTCCCGTGGGCTCCCTATGTCGAACCTCCGATTAGCACGTTTTGGGAACGTACGCTGAGAAATAAGTTTAACATACACACATTCGTCTCAAGTCTCCCTGTCCCCATATCTCCACGTCTCAAGGCTTCCTGTCCCCACATACTCCCACATCTCTCTATCTCAGGTCTGGCTGTCTCTCCATCTTTGTCCCCGTGCTCCTTCGTCTCCCTGTCTCAAGCCTCCCTTCTTCCCGATACATTTTGTCCCCGCGTCTCCCTGCCTCGAGTCTCCGTGTTCCCATGTCTCCCCACACCGCCTATGAGGTCACCGATTCCAACACCCACTGACCAAGTTTGGTCACGTTCCAACAACTCAGCGATTTTTTTCCTCGATTAATATTTTTTTTCCGAAAATATTCCGAGTGCCAAAAGCACGTGCAATATTTTCCATAACGATTGAACGTGTGCTTATTATTTTAGTTTTTCGCCCCCCCCCCCCCCCGTCGTTAGGCGATACCGCTGTCTCTCGTTTCTCCCAATTTAATTCCAAGTCGTGTTTTGAGACGAAGAATCTGTTTAACGCTCTCGCAAGGGGCATTACATCACCCCGTGTGTTAGAGAACATCTTGTATAAGAACACATCGTAGAGCTACTTATGAGAGCCCTTAAAACTCGAGGCCTACTTTCCAACACACTCCTGTAGGTGTACGGTCAGTGCATGGCAGTAAACCCGGTATATATTTTATTCTCGAAGCTAGAAAACAATTAAACTAATGGGGGGAAAGGAGATGTACGCGATCGTATTTTTGGTGTACAGACATTGGTGACCGGGCTGATAGCATCAACTCGCTACACTTGAGAAGTTAGTTTATAATTCCGGGCAAGCTGAAACCTGAATTCAAATCCAGGATCTCTGAGGCACTCAGCCACCGTCAGTTTTCTTTTACTGGTAGGAACGAAGTTGGAAACTGAGTGTACCAGCCTGCAATAGATTAATGTGTCCGTCCGTCCGTCCCCTTTCAATACTTTAACGAAGTGAAATCTCGTGCTGTTGGGTGTAAAATCAGCAATAGACAGCGCAGAGACTTGTCCTACCAGCCCACCCTGCAGGGACCTGTTAATCAGTTGGTGTTTAAAGTCCTGGTTTGCGCTACACTCAACCCACCATCTCTCCTATGCAAATGACACATCTCCGTGGCCAGAGCAAGTGCTGTTACGGGACAAGAACATACCGATGCACTCATATAAAGTTGTGCTCATTTAATTTATCGACGACAAGCGGGATGACTTGCTGTGTGGGTCCCTTCACTGGCCGCCTTAACCCGTAACCTTCCAACTGTGAGCGCACCACTCTAACCACAGCACTGACCTTCGATGCCACCAAATCTCGCTACCACTTCCTTCCTTCTGGTATATGCCACATTTTTTTGCACAGTCAACACCAGCCCTCCACTCGAGCCTCGTTTCCATCCTCGCACGACTCTAGGTTTCTGCCTTGCGACACGGACAGATGTGTCCTTCAAGGACCACTTTTACAGCCTTGTCACCACCACCACCACTGTCTGACTTTGAGGTCTTCCCCTTGGTCACCGACCTCAGTGTGGCGCTGCAATGCCAGTGTCGGTGACCTGCCCTCCTGCTGCTCCATCCTGCGCATGCGTGCCAACCGACCCGACCTCCTGACTGCATCTTCAACTGGTGGCCTATAGCGTGGTTGGCGTGGGCCCCTGGTGCAGTTGCACCGCCTTCACACTCCTCCGCAGCTACGCCACTCTCTGTGATGTTTTCTTGTCCAGTTCGCTCCCGAACGTGCAAGCTGCAAAGGGAGTGACATCAACCCTCATGGTTAACAGCGCTTGAGCCGACACTGCCGAGACCCTGGGTGGTTCGAATTCCGGTTTCAGCCGCCCATAATTGAATTCGGGTTCTTGAGTGCAGTGAGGCGATGGTCTCAGCCTGGTCACCAATGACTGAACACAGATTTAAAAAAAAACATCACGCTAAATCTGATTCTTTTCTTAACGTAGCTAAATTCGAGCTGACAGAACTAAATAAAAAAAAGTTGATTTGGCCGTCGTGCGATGAACATTTCTCTCAAATGGCAGAGCGATTGAGAAACTTCTGCTATTCTACTGTTTTTTGGCCATGCATATAGTTTCTCATCGTATGGCCACAGCGTTATTGACAAACACCATGACGGAATTTCACCACGCGTGGTCGTGGGCCCGATGCCCACGCAGCACCGCAGAAGCACGCCGCTTGCCAACGCCGCCCGCCGCTCTGCCCCCCTCCCAAACCCCTCCAGACGGTGTTCAAGCTCCAGGTGCCGAGCAAGGGGAGCTTCTACCTGCAGCCGTCGAGCCGCGAGGAGCGCGACTCGTGGGTTGCGGACATCCACGCGGCGTTGGGCAGCTCGGTCGGGGGCAGCCCCAACAGCCCCCCGCAGTCCCTGACTCCCTCACCCCAAGCACACAGCCCATCGCTCACCGGGCCCAATGTCAACCTCGCGTGAGTATCAGAAAGCTGGTGGACCCGTCTGCCTGTCCGCTGACCTACGTGACTGCTTATCTGCTTACCTACCTGTCCGCATGTCTGCCTGTCTGCCTCTCTACCTGCCTGCTTATCTATCGGCCCACCACGCTCGCAGTATACCAGCCTGCCTACCTGTCTGTCTGTCTGCCTGCCTCACCGCCTGTCGGCTTGCATGACTGAGCGCCTTTCCGTCTGCCCATCTACCTGCCTGCTGCCCTTCCTGTTTATCGCCATTTTTACCAACCCTGCAAATCTCCTTACGTGCTGATCCTGTCTGGCCTATCTCCCTGACTCTCCGTCTTCGTCTCTGGCTTACGTGCCCGCTGACACTGCTTACCAGTTGCGGTTCCGCCTTTCCGGGCGACCCGTGTGCTCACGCGCGCCTTCCCTGGCTGCTGTGTGCCCAGGGAGTTGGTGGAGAAGATGAAGGACACCGCGCTGGGGATCGCGTCCGAGTCTCATCACGAGCAAAGCGTCACCTACCGGCACTGCTTCACAGGTAAGGCGCCTCGCTTGCCTGCATACGTACCTTCTTACCTACTTACTACCTGTATACTCCATTAGCTACCTACTTGTCTGCTCCATTAGCTACCTGTCTGACTGTCTGTCTATCTGCTCCATTACCTGCCTACCAACTTCTACACTACGTGTTTGCTATGTATAGTCACTTGACACTGTGGACACCCTTTCAATCTAAAAAAATATTACATAATTGTTGACTGACCTATCTGCATTCCTATGCACGTTGATACTGGCCTGTCTACCTATACGTCTACCTGTCTGTCTACTGGTCTACTTGACCTGCCGAGTTACCTATCTACCTGCCCAACAATCAAATGAGTTCCCATTTGTCGAATGCCAAACGTCATCCTGCCCCCGTCACAGCAATGCGGAGTTTCCATCACCGGTTCAGGACAATCAAAGCACACTCTCACGTCGGACAGGAGACGCCTTATGATTATAAACCTATATTCTTGGTTCTTTCAGTAAAGTCACGTAGAAGGGAAACAATAAAATAATAAAACAATAAAATTCTTACGACGTTTCGATTGCAACACAAGCAATCATCAGGTGCGATTAATTTGATTGATTATTTTATTTTATTATTTCGCTTCTACGTGGTGACTTTACCGAAAGAACCAAGAATATGAATCCCTGCAGTCACGAAAGCTTTAAATCGAAAAATTATGAACCTAGCTGGAGTAACCTACCGCCTGCCCCACCTAACCCCGTACCCAACGCGAACCCCACCCCCGACATGTGTAGGGGCGAGCGTGGTGGACTGGCTGCTGGCACGCGGGGTGGCGCCGTCTCGCAACGAGGCCGCCCTGCTCGCCTCCATGCTCCTGCAGGGCGGCCTCCTGGAAGCGACCAGCAGTCGCGGGAGGGCAGCCGCCTCCCTGCCCGACCTCGCCCAGCGCTTCCTCGACGGATCCGATGCGTTCTACTGCCTGGTGAGTCTCTTCTAACACTTTCCAACCGAGGGTGAAAGCGTTTGTCTATCGCCTCTGTCTGTCCGCCCATCCGTCTGTCTGTCCGTCAGTCCGTTTGTCCGAAGTGACAGCGATGGGGGGGGGGGGGGGGGGGGTCGCACAACATGATCGAATATTGACGTGACTGTAGGAGGTTGCGTTTCTTACTTCCTACGAGGGACTTGCCCGATTGAAAACCGGCCGAGCGAATCGATTGCAAGGGGCCGCCCGAAACGCGGCAACGTTGGGTCTCGTCTGGACGACACGGGGTCTCCCTCTCGTCTCTCATCCGTCTCGTGCGTTCCTTCAGAACTGTGTGCGCGATTGCGGTATAATTCGCACGAATAATCATGTTCTTAATTTGTGCGAGCGCGGCAATCAATTTTAACGGTTAAACAATAAATTGCTTAACTGGCCGTGGTGCTCACAGTCTTTGGGCACGAGCACTTGAAGATATGACATCGCCTATTTGTACAGTGGCTAACTTGCAGTTGTTTGTCAATCCAATGTTGGGTAAAGGCCTCCCCCCCAAATAGACCCCCTCCTGGGGAGGCAGGAGGGGGTCTATTTAATCATACTTCATCACGCCGGTCGGTGCTGTTCAGAGAAAGTGGAGGCTAGGAATGGTTCAGGCATCACTTGCCACTGATGTTAGCCGCATTGAACTCGGCGATTTGATGAATTGTCACGATTCCAAGGAATCAATTCCATCGTTTAACAACGCGGTGCATGTAGAATATGTGCTTTGAAAGGGAATACCAGTCGACGGATCGACACGTTGATGCACCCATTGACGGCACACCGTTTGTTCTTTTGTTGTGCAGTCTGAAAACAACAGCAAGTTTGGCACGGAGCTGACGGCCAAAGAGATCATCAGCGGAATCTCATTCTCCGGGAAGATCATTCTGCAGGGTTACCTGATGAAACAGGTAAGGTTACGGGTTCAATGCCTTTCAGTCTCAGAAATCATCATCATCATCACCACAACCAACATCAACCACATTATCATCATCACAACCATCAATATTATCATTGCCATAACCATCATTAGCAACATCATCATTATCATCTCCACAACCAACATCAACAACATTATTGGCATCACCACAACCATCAATATTATCATTGCCATAACCATCATTAACAACATCATTATCATTATCATTGCCACAACCATCATCAACAACATTATCATCACCACCACCACAACCATCAGCATTATGATTAATACCATCATCATAATCATCAGTATTATTCTTACCATCCCTATCACCATTACTGCTACGAGCATGATCATAAACATCATCAAAACAATCGTTGTAATTTCCACTAGAATCCTCATCACAACCATTATCATCATCATTATCACCACCACCACAACAACCGACATCATCATATCCACTATCTTCATCAGCAACGTGAGCACTACCATTATCATCATCATCACCATCACCACGACCATCATCATCATCGTTACTACCTAGGGTGTCAGCAACATAATCATCATCAACACAGCCACGACCATATTCTCAAACACCTCGATGATCAAAATCACCGTTATCACTCAAGTACTGGTGGTTACGGTCATGGTAAATTGGTGTCGTTGGCGGTGGTGGCGGTGATGATAATGATTGTGGTGGTTGTGATGATCGTGGTGATGATGATCATGATAGTGATGTTGATCGTGACGGTGGTAATGATGATCATGGTTGTGGTGGTGATAATGATCATGACTCTGGTAATAACACTGCTGATGATGATGATAAATGTGTTGTTACAGGGACATCGGCGTAGGAACTGGAAAGTGAGAAAGTTCATCCTGAGAGAAGAACCATCTTACCTGCACTACTATGACCCCACTAAGGTGACCTCCTCATCTCACCTCCTTACCCCACCTCATTAAAGTGTCAGCGTGCATGTATATGTGGAGAGCAGGGGCGCAGTGATTGCACTATAAGCCCGACGACCCGAGTTCGAGTCTCACTTATGGCCAACATCAGAGACAAATATCTGATCCGGTCCTGGGCCTCCCCTAGGTCGATTCAGCCTTAAATGGGTATGTGGTGTAAACATATCACCACGAGGGATACAAAGGCGGCCGGGTGTAGTGCTGGCTACCCACCTCTCATGTGCCATGCCGGCCTTAAAAGGTGCTGGTTGTCAGCACTTGCCCCAACAGTCTGTTAAAGGGTATACGGGGATCTTTGTCTTTGTATGTGTAATAGTAATAGTGTTCAGCGACCAAATGTTTAAATGCACTGCGCTACAAACCCCGATGACGTGAGTTTGATTCGCAGCCATTTGCTAAGATCAGTGGCGCGCGATACTGAACCCAGCCCTGGCCTCCCCAGGTGCGGTTGGCGAAGACAACGGTGGCATTGTCAGAACCATGTCCTGGGTAATAGGACAACCTGCCGTGGGCCACATCTAGGTTGACGGAGCCTTAAATGCGGTGCGGGTTAACATTATTGAGACACTGGAAAGAGAGGGGCAGGCAGGCAGCGGCGCGTGGCTCCCCGCCGCACCGCCTCGCTCGTGTGCCTTGGGCCCGGCCTTAATGGGCGCTCGCTAACTGTGCGCATGTCTCTGTGGTGCGTGCAGGAGAGATCCGAGCGCCCTCTGGGGGGGTTCCCCGTCCGGGGCTGCCTGGTCACGGCGCTGGATGACGGAGGTGTGCCTCCCGGTAAGCCACAAATGCCGCCAAGGCGTTACTCATTATTGTTACTACTACTACGCTTGTTTAACCCATGAAGGACGTGACTGAGTCTCAGGACTCTCTTTAGGACGGGTCCTGCAAAGATAGTGCAGTAGTGGGGGAGCGGGGGGCGACGTTGCTGCTGTGGTGTCATTCAAATTGAGTAACTTGCAGGTAAATGGTTCAGCCATTGGGATGTTTTGGCCAATACCAGTTACAATGTACGTAACTCAGAGGAAGCCCATGCAGAACAAGAGGCGTCCGATTTGGGCGTTGAACTCAGGGCATTCTTTCTGTAAGGCACAAGTGTTACCGTTCCGCCGCCCTGATCATAATTATAATGGTGCCACTTTTAGTTTGTGTCATGATCTTCCTCATCATCATCAACTGCTTCAGGTGAACACAGACAATCGTCATCATGTGAATATCATCATCACACACGTGTGCTTACAATTCAGATCTTTCACCATCGAGTGGGTGTGGCACCGCGGGGAGGGGGGGGGTGGCGACGATTTGGGGGAGGTCCTCATCCAGCGGTGGATCGATCGTGGCTGATGATGCTGAGTGTTCTACAAACCCCCTCTTCATGCCAATGGCCATCTGTGCCCTTGTATAGACAAGTCTGGAGTAGACGAGTTGAGACGGGACACGAGGAGGGAGTGGCGGTCACATTCCAAACCGTTAACGCGAGCCTCGTGCTGAAAACAACCAAGTTAAATAATAATATATTAAGAGGTTATATTAGTCTCTTATATCAGTTACATTAGTCTGCAGTATTCTCTCGTTCTTCGTGAGGTAAACGTTCCGGAGATGCTCGTGAATAGCTAGTTTCACAGATAATGATATTGGCGTTCGCAAACATTTATTTTTTATGAACTACTTTAAATAAATGCTGTAGACAAATAAGCTATTAAATACATGAAAATTATAACACAAACAAAAGTTGGTTAAAATAAACATTAAGCAAATAAAAATAAATATGAAAAGTATTATATAATTGTTTATAATTAAACTTACCTTAAATTATGGTGATGTTGCACATCATCACTTTATCTCATCATTTTCTCGCGTCACATTCTCTCTCATCACTTTGTCTCATCGCTTCCTTTCTCTCTCTCTCGATGCAGCAGTCGCGTAGAGTTCCAGATGCAATTCGGCGGATAGCCAAGTTGGTGAATAGCGGGGGAATACCGTCCACGCGTGGCACAAACCTCTCCAGTTGCGGCTTTTCGGCGTTGTTCCGCGCGTTGCCATTCACGCTTTTGTCCGACGCCTCGCTCCGCGTGCCGGGAGCTTCTCCGTGAATTTCGTACTCCTGACGCCGCACCGAGTAATAGCACAGCGGCGGCACGGCCGCGAAAATTCTCCCCTGGGGGAAGGGGGGCAGCCGTGCCGTGCCGTGCCGCGCCACACGGCACGGCCACCGAAGAAAAATAAAAACCTCGCCGCCGCCGTCGTCATAATTTTATTATTTAGAAACCACGACCACCGGCCCCACACCTCGTGCCAGCCAGCGTCTAGACACATTTGCTGCGGCGTGGCCACACGAAGGCAAACCACCGACACAAGCGTTTTCTCTGTACCTGTCGGTGCCATCGTTTAATCATACAAGACTTTTACATTGTTATCATGATCAAGCGATCGAACTTTATTTATTCGAGGTGCCTTTCTTTAATTCAAGGCCTCCTTCCTGTATAAATATGTATATAAATCATTCTCCTCCGTCAAAACTACAAAAAAAAATGTGCAATTTAAATTGGGTTAATCTCCAACAATACATTTTGTTATGTTCGTTTAGTTTTCATTTCATCTGTAAATGCCGGGCTAAACAAGTGTGGTTATTTACCTCGGAAAACCTCAGCGAGTCTCAAGGCTCATCTTTTTCAGGAGTGTCCTGCTACAACAATGGGGATGTTTGGCCAGATACCATGAATGCATTTTAAGCATTTGCTTTGGTTACCACGTTTAAACAATTCAACTGGGGGGGGGGGGGGGGGGGTTAGTGCCCCCCATTACGTAGCCTGTGCAAGCTCTATGGCAACCAGTTTGTACACAGTGGTAACCCATCAAAGCACTGTTCAGTCTCCAACCTGCTTAGCTTCCAGAGATCGGGGGGCGCACTCCAAGTTGACGCGATAACGGCGCGAGAGGGCAAATGCTCTCGCTCATGCTACTGCTGGATATCGATAACATCGAGGACGACGGCGATGATGAAGTGAAACAAATGATGACAACGATGACTTCAATGATAACTTCACAGTGGCGACATCGCCCATGCGGCCGGTGTATTAGCTACAAAGCACTCGTTGCCGTCTGGTTTGCAGCGGACGTTAAAGACCTCGTGGCATCACTCGAAAACGAGCAGGCCGCGCGTGCCGGCGTTGTGGTCCAAAATCTCGCCGAATTTTGTAAGCAAAAAAAAATTTACTCGCAAATTACTTGAACAGGAAACCAGATAGTGAATCGTCGCCCCCGACCGCTAAAAAGAAAAAACACACAAGTAGACTCGTTCTGAAAGAGCTCGTGAAAACCTTAGCCAAGCTTTTCCTGGTTAAAAATAAATGCACGTACCGTGATCGTGATAACTGTGTCTCTGTCTGCTGTGTCCCCCCCCCCCCACCGCACCCGGCCTCTCCCCCACCTTCGTAGGCGTGAGGGGGAACGTGCAGGATAACCTCTTCGAGGTGATCACGGCGGACGAGGTCCGATTTTATCTGCAGGCTGCGTCGGCAGCCCAGCGCAGCGAATGGATCCGGGCCATCAGGCAGCTCAGCTGAATGCACTTCTCCCTCCGCCCGGGCCATCACGCCAACGCTCGGTTCGGCAGCCCCGCGTGTAACCCTCTCAACACGCGCCCCAAATCTGTAGAAGCCGGCGCTGCGTACGTTCGTTTGTCGTCTGCAAACAAAAGGACGCTCCAACGTATTCGTCAATCGCGCTGCCCTGAAACGAACGTGCCGTGAAGAAGGGCCATTGCTCGAAACGTCGTTTGTTATATGTATTATTATTATTAAGGCCCGCAGTTTTATTGATGAATGTGTTGAGTTGCTTTGTTGATTGTGCCTGGTCAGCAGCATCACCAAATGATGTCTTTGTGCATTAGCTCCGTCCATCTGTCTGGTGGAGAGGGGACCAGGATAACTCGTGAAGATGATGCAACACTTGCTATTGGGGAATCGCCCTGGAGAAAACTGACCACATTGATCAAAGGTTCAAAGGTCAAATCCTGTCGACACAAACCCAGAGCACAGAGCACTTATTTGTAAATATGCAAACACGTCTGTCGCCCCGCTCGGCTACCCGTCGTCTTCTGTACCGTCAGTTAAATACCTCCCGAAGACAAACGCGCACATTTGGAAAGTGTTACACGTAATCCAGCGCGTAGGCATGTTTTTTTTCCATTGCCAGTTTCACCGGGAAAACCGCAACGAGTCTCAGAACCCAATTTACTTCAGGAGGGTCCTGCTACACCGGGATGTTTGGCGGCCAATTTCATCGGTGGGCGTTTGGCTTCGTGTGGGAGGAAACAGGAGAACCCGGAGTAAATTCCACGTGTTATAGGGAAACCGTTTTATACAGAAACCGTTTTATATAGAAACCCTGTTATATAGAAAACTTTTATATAGAAACCGTTTTATATAGAAACCCTGTTATATAGAAACCCTGTTATATATAAACCATTTATATAGAAACCGTTTTATATAGAAACCCTGTTATATAGAAACCGTGTTATGTACAAAAACCGTGTTATATAGAAACCCTGTTATATAGAAACCCTGTTATATAGAAACCGTGTTATATAGAAACCGTGTTATATAGAAAAGGTGTTATATAGAAACGGCTTAAACATTTGACGTTTAGCTCAGATAGTCGATTATAATCGTGGCACCCAGAGACTGGCTACAAAGGTAAACAAATCTAAAGCCGGAAGTTGGTTAGCGACTTGCAGGATGAAGACTTTCCTACACCGTGTCGGTTGTGGGGTGTCGTTTGACCATACTTCACCACACCGGTTCGTGCATGATTGGTGAAGGGGGTTGTGGAGGGAAGCACAGGACTGGTTCGGGTATCGCTCGCCACTGATGTTAGCCGTGGCCAGGAATCGAACTCAGGTAGCTGGGCTCATAGTGCAGTGCAATAACCACTGCAATCACCATAAACTGATTATCGCTCATTATTGTTATATAAAAGTTAGGCCTGTAATCTGCATATGTTACTATCGTGTATTTATTAAACATTTTTTTTTAATATATATACATTTTGGTTGTTTTATTTATTGTACTTAACACTGAAATATAAACACGTGATGCTGTCACCTCCAACTAAGCAGCTAGAATAGCAGGGCCTCCGATCGTGAGGTTAAACGATTGCCAAATAAAAAAAAGATTGCTGATCAACGATTGCCGGTAAAAGTTTAAACTTGTCACGCGCCGATGCACGGCATCCGCTCGCTGTGGAAGTGAAAGAGAGCGAGAGAGGGAGGACGACTCGGAGGCGCCTGGAACCACAGACGAAGGGGAAGGCGGCAGCCACGCCACGAGCTCTGTTGTCCTCCACATATATATCGTGACGCTTATCTGCCAATGGGAGGGAACGGTGAACGCACCGGAGAAACCCCACGCGTGCGAGGGTGAAACACTCGATCCCAGGGGCGGCGGCGGGCGGGTGGTGGGGGGTCGGCAAACCTTGCGGCTCTGATGCCGCAATGCGGACGTCTCATCAAGGACTGCACCGTGGCGATGTTTATTGAGGACCACCGCCTCGCGTTCACACGCAATGCGGCTCTTGAATTATTGAGGGGTGTTTTTGTTGTTGTTGTTACCGAATTCGTCGAAAAGAAATGGCTCATCTCGTTACGTTGCTGGCCGACCCCTGCTCTCTCCAAAACAGATGTAACAGTCGACATTTGTTTTTACTGTACCGCCTTCTCGTGGCGAGCCAGGGTTATAGCAACCCCCACGACAGCCGCAGGGAAGGGAATTTTGCAACATTTATGAGATCCACCGTAAAAAATATATAAGTATTTTGTAGACATCCCATCAGCCACACGGCCTTATGAGGGCGCACACATTCAGCGGCATTGACTGCACAAGAAAACTATGGAGCGGTCTCGATCTTCAACGTCCCATTGGCAGATTCAGCCTTCCTTATAGCGATCTAGATTTGAAGTTTTCGTGACTGCAGGGATCCATACTCTTTGGTACTTTCGGTAAAGTCACGTAGGTGTAAAATAAAATGAATTAAATCACGACGTTTCGGGCGCAACGCAAGTTATATATAGCGTTCCTTATAGCGGTTACTTTTAGTGGTCGAAGTTGTCTAGCGTGTGTACGAGTTAATGTTGTGGTTGCCCACCAGAAACAATGAACCTCATATTCGGCACTCAGTCTGGTAAAATTCGCCACACTCATTGCTAATGTGTTGCACTAATTGTTCTTTTTCAGGAGTGATTATTGCAAAAGCCTCACATAAGGGCGATTGTAGCAATGAATGAATCACTGTGGGCCGAATGAATGAACGTGTGATTTGGGGAGTTCATTACTCTTACACGTAAACTCGAGCGGTCGGCTAATTTCTCGGGGTATTCACAACGGGCGTGGTTTCAGTTTCAGCTTTCAGTTTCATTTATTTGGTATAGCCCTGTAAGCCATTCGGCTCTTGAATGTGGTTGAACCACTGAGCAGGCACCAATACGAATTATGAGTGTCACACCCGGGCTGCAAACGCTCGTGGTTTATTTTAGTTAAATGTAGGGGAGCCGATGGGTGTCTTTCCCAGTCACTGATAACTCCTTTAAAAAAACATATACGGCGATACCCCGATGAACGTCTGCCCCCTCTTGTCGTTTCGCAAAAAGCCTCCAACTCACGTGACTTGTCTGGCCACCGTCATTCCGAATCGCTCCCCTCTTCCCGCACGCAGCACGCTTCTGCTAGCTCCTTTCTTCTCTCTTCTCCATGTATTCCCTCCCCTCTCATCACCCTCTCATCCCCTGACATCTTGGTCCGGTACTCCTCCCCCCACCCCGCCCTCTCCCTTCTTGCGCTTTTCTCCCTGCTGCTCCTCTTGAGTAGTTTGAGTAGTGTCCTCTTGCCTGCCTTGGGGGAACGTCCATCCCGGCATCCCTTCCTTCCCGCTCATCTTGCACCTCAGTCTATGTCGCCTCGTCCCGGGTGGCGTCTCACAATCTCTACATTGCCCTTGCAATGCATCCTCTGCAGTAACCACCAACATTGCCCGATCCGACAGGGATCGGCCACGTACACGCGGCTCTTTGACTGCTACGTGACGTTAAGGACCACCGGCCTCGTACTCAACTGCATTGTGGCTCTTGAAATTGGTCCCATTTTAGCAATACATTTCCTCTTCATCCAATCGCTTTCTTTGCCGTCTTCCCTTTCCCGTTTTGTATTTTTTTCCCATTAGATGACCGGGTATTCTTGACTCCACCCCCCCCCCCCCCTCCCCATAGAGCATCACGGCTAACGGTTGCGAGTGAGGATTATTTTTCGTTACTTTTCATTGGACCTGGCCACCGTGCCAGCCGCGCCCTTTGGGGGGGGGGGGGGGGCATCAAGACTCGATCGTGCGGTCAGAACATTTTTAGATCGGGGGAGGGGGACATTCCAGATTCTCACAAAAGCTCGACCGGTTTGGAGGCGGGACGCGAGGAACGATCTCGTCAACCCACTGGAACGTTCTCTGGCTATAACCATACATTTCCCGCCTCCTCTCTGCCCAGCCTCATTTTCAGACATCGTCTGAGCTACTTTGGTTTCCTATGGCGGGGAAATGGTGAAGCTGTGGGTGCGTGGCTGGACATCGGTCAGCCCTGCCCAACGGCTGGGCCCATCGAGATAAGTTCTGTTTGGAGCCGAATCCTAATAACTTTTGGCGGGTAACCAGGGGTTACTCAACTTCTTATCGAATATCGCCGGCAGAGGAAGCGGCATGCGAGAAGTATCGACGGCCAAAAATCGAACGAAAAGAAGCTTCCCGGCTTCAAGGATTCACTTCCACAGCGAATCGATGTTTTCAGCGATGGATGGCGGTCACCATTTGGTTCACGACTCGTCTCATTCATTCCTTTACCGTCCCGTGTTTTTTACCCCCCCTCCCACCACCAGTCTCTCCACATCTTATTGATATTGTTTTATTTGCGATCGCGCGCCAGGCTAGACACACAACTCGAGCCACATTTTAGGGAGGCAAATCCCAACCTCTGCTCACTTTCATTTCCCCCAAACCCCTCCCTCCCCCCCCTCCACAATTTTGCCTTGCATTTCATTTGCGCGGAGGTCACAAGGTCCTTGGCGATTAGTTGGCCGGATGAGATTAACTTTCACGTTTGTTGTACGAGGGATTGCGGGGAAAACTCAATTGGGCAAAATGGAGTTCCAAGTGCCAAGCTGTGCAAGGGGGTAGAGACGCCAGGGCTCAACGGGGTTTGTCCAGCTGCGAAAGTGGCTGCCGAGAGGCACAACTGTCAGGGCAGGATTTCTATAAAAACGGGTGAGGTGGAAGTTTGCTCTGGATAAGCAGCGACCGTTGCAGCAGTGGTATCAGAGAAACGAGTGGGAGACTGCACCAGTGACTCCTGATTGAAGTGGAGACACGAGGAGGACGGGTTCACATCAATACATGGATTTATGAATGACCGATGGGCAGTAGCGGTGGGAGGGGGGGGGACAGGAAACCCGAGCAGCGGTGGATGCAGTAATGACCAGTGGCAGCAGAGATGACACAAACTGCCGATGAGATGCTTGTGTCATGCCTAACAGTAACAACAATAATCGTGAAAAATGTAGGATACGTACAAGAACGACTTTGTTGTTGACAGTAGCAGTAGAAAATAAGATTTCTACACGAGGTTCCAGCAATGCCCATCGTGGTAGCCATAGCAGACGAGACGAAGTCGAGAGAAAGAAAATCGAGTGCGATCTTCAAATCAATCGGCTTATCGCCGAATACCATCCACAAAAAAAAATATTCATACACGCCAAGAGCTCTATTCATAGCACGAGGTCGGAAATCCAACTTCGCACGAGCCTGTGGCATAGAACGGAATCTGCACTGGAATGAAGAGACCAGAGGGGAGTTGGAGGTTCGGGGAGTGATGGGAGGCCAGGGTGGAGTTTGATGCGAGGGGAGGGGGATGGGTGGTCAGGGTGGGGTTGGAGGTTCGGGGTGGGATGGGAGGCCAGGGTGGATTGCCGCCACGAGCCCTAGTGGACAGATACGTCCCCGTAGACGAAGAAGCATGTGATGCTCGCCAGGGCTTTAATGCGATGAGTGAACGTGAACACCACGGCGTGGTTGACCTTGACCACAAAGTGGGCCTCCTCGCAGATCACCTCCAGCTGCAGGCAGAGAGAGAGCGCACGGCACGCATTGGAGCACGCAGCGCAGGTCGCGGCAAGTCACAGGCATCGACGTGTCAATTAAAAGCAATCGCAGCGATACGGTTGGGAACAGCGCGCAATTAAAAAAAAAAAGAGTGAAGGCGACTTTGTAGGCAGATTTTTTTTTTTCTGGCGACAAGTCCTGGAAAAAAATATTCACCTTTTTGTTGTCAGAATGACTGTTCGGAATTTACAAATGGATTCTTAATCTCGCGACAACAGTGCAGTTTAAGTAAATTGGGCAGGGGGGGGGGGGGGTTGGGGGCGTTCCCTGTGCAACTCTCCAAACTTTGCCAAAATTTCATACCCCGACGCCCGGGCCCCCGACTTTGGCTTGTGGGGCCCCCGGTGCAGTTACACCGCCTGCGCTCTCGACAGCCGCACAACTCACCAAGAAGGCCTGCCCTTGAGCGAACGGGAAGGGCACCCGACAGAAGCGCTCCTCTTCACCCCACCTGCCGTTGATGCGCGCGTTTCTCACCACCACCTCGCCGTCATCCTCGTCGTCAAAGCGCGGGTTCACCTGCAGCGCGACGTTCCCGGTTCTGCACTGCAGCAGGTTGAGCGCGAACCTGGCGAGAGAAGTCGCTGAGAGAGCTGGCGACGGGCGAGCGACTCTCAAATCGGAAGGTGGGATGGGGGGGGGAGAGGTGGGGGCTCTCCGTCTGCATGGGCTGCAACGTGCCGCAGGGCGCCTGGTTAAAAATCTACCTTTTCGCCTTCGGGGGCACGCAGCCGTCGATAACGATGGTTTTCCCCGGGAAAAGACCTCCGACGATATCGGATCCATACTTGATGGTCTTTGTGAAACAGGGGGGTGGGGGATGGGCAGGCAGCCATCATTTTACAAGCAGGATGGGGAGGGCTAAATTAAGACACTCAAGACATGTTTGGGGGGGGGGGGGGTAGTCGAGTTAGGAGGTGCACATCAGCTGTAGCCGAGGGGGTAGGACACAAAGTGGCTTCGTTTAACACTGGCTACCTATCAATGGATTGCCCTCTCGTACCCGATTAGCACGGCTAAGTTGCACACTTTTCCAAAGCGGCGGGACCTTATGTGGTTGTTCAGACGTGCAAAATAAAGCCGCAGGCCGGCACAGCCCACGGACCAGCTGCAGGGTCCCCTCTAAGTGATGTACACAGCCGCATAACAGAAACTCGCATTCGTCAACAACACTTTGGCCCTAGAAGAAAAAGTGCATAGTAATAGGCGACGATTTGGGCAATGGGAAATTCTTCACAGCATGTGAAGATTGGGGGCCACGACGAAGGGCCAATGCCCAAGGTGCCGCCTATTAAATACACACTTCCTTCTAAAGCCACAAGCGGTTTGTGCGCCGCTGCCAATTGTGGGTGGAGGCATCTACGAGTGGACGCCACGGTGCCGCCACGTACGTTGGTGCCGAGGGGCGCGAGGATTCTCAGCTTGAAGATGTAGGCGGTGGGGTTCAACACGAGGCGGTCCACCCAGTGCAGCTCGAAGCGGTGGGCAAAGTGCACTACCGAGCTGTCGTTGCACATCACCTGCGCGCCGGCGGCGTGCGTCGCACACGCAATAACGCAAAGGCAAGGACGACACAGATTCCATCCCCAAACACCGTCCACAGCCTTAAAAGGACTGCTGTTAGTGGGTAACACCTACGAAGGCCGACCCGGCACACGAGGGGGTGGGTGGCCAGCACCACGCCCGGCCACCTTGGGTCTCCGCCAAGTCTGCAACAGGTCATCATTTAAGGCCGAGTCTACCTACGGAAGACCCAGGACCAGTTCAGATAATCGTCACCTGGTGTTGGCCGTGAGCGGGAATGGAACTTAAGCGGATCGCAGAGTTCGCTTAACCACAGCGCCACCGCTCCCCGCACACGCGGCCAGAGCCGAGGCTGCGGCATGTAAAATGTCCTGGTCACCAGCAACAATCGAATCAAGATATTATGGGAATTTTTTTATAATAGATTTAAGCAATAAAAACATGTAATTTCAATTCTTCTTAATTGCATACATATTGTACGTAATGAAATATATTTCATTGTTGTTAAAACGATAGTTTAAGAAATATTTAAGTCCGTGCACTGTACGGTTGCTCTGGGGTGGTGCCATGTCCCAACCATGGCCCAGCAGGGCTCAACTTCAAACAAAAACTCAGTAGGTGGCGGCATTCCCACCTGCTGCAGCTCATCGGTGACCCGGGAAATCATTCGGGTGTCAATTTAAGCCCCGATTACACACGGCAGCTTGTGCGTAGAACGCATCAATTTCACGGATTAATATTGAATCTTTAGTCCACAATCATTATCATCATCCCTTGCCGATCTTGTCAAGGCTCATAAACCATCACGTGAACTCCGGTCAGCCTCGCAGCGGCTTTTGGCTAGCCATCTAACAAAGACGGTCCCCACTGCATCGCGCACTTTCAGATGCGCTTGTGGCCGTCTGGAACGCTCTTCCTTCCAATTTGAATAAGCCACTGGAACCATGCACTTTTAAATTAAATTGAAAACTAATTTCTTTCGAACAGTTTTTTTGTGTTTAGTTTGTTATCCTTCCCCCACACCTCCAATCAGCATGGTTGGCTACGTACAGTGCAAAAGAAGTTCAACACACACCACATCAGGCATGCTCTACTCTGCTAAATAAAATACCTCTACAAAAATAACGATTCACTCACCTGGTACCCCTCCTCCTTTATGGAAATGGACAGTTGAAAGTCGACCTCGCGGAACAGGGGCAGCCCTGTGCGCTGCTCCTCCTGGCCCCAGGTGGCGTTTATTTTTGCGTTGAGGGTGAGGAGGCACCGGGAGCCGGCGAGTGGCTTGGCGTCAAAGCGCAAGTCCGCTTTCAGCGCGACGGCGTTCCTGCCGCAGAGGTTCACCGTGAATCTGGAGAGGAAGCGGCGCGAAGGGAAGCGCCGGGGTGAATGTGGACATTTGGAGCATGCGACAACACTTTTATAGTGGGGGACGAAAAAAAATCTTATCGACAGAGTTAACATCACCAATCAACGCATTATATTTCAGCAGGAACCCGATACAGAGCACAAATCGCAATATAGAAGGGGGGGGGGGGGGGCAGGGGGTGGGGTACAGAAACTCCGCGGACATGTCCCAAAAGCTGTGCTCCTTAGTTTAGAGGAAGGGGGAGATTGAGCTCGCTGCCCCGAGCGGGGTGTGTGTACTTTTCTGTGGGAAGGGGAATCACGGAATCGATGTAAAACCCGCATGCAAATTCCACTTTGAGATGTTTTTTTTATTGGACGAGCCACCTGCGCGGAGAGCAAGCACCAAGACTGACGGATGGAGCAGACAGCCTGGCGAACAGAACACACGTAGTCCCCCAACACTCAACCCACAACCAAACTAGCCAGCCACTAGTACTAACCCAACCGCTAACTACCCAGCACACAATCACGAGCTCAAACCCAAACTACCCAGCCACTAGAAACTCTGCACCTCCGATTAGCACGGCTGGCTCTGTACGGTGTAAAAGAAGTTCAAAATACACATACCAGCCTAACACCCAACTACCCAGGCAAATAGTACTCGCCTAACACCTAATATCGTAGCCTTCGTAGTTGTAGTGAACACTCGATTGTGATCATCATTTCATTTGCGATGAGACGAACCCTTCCGAGTCTTTAGGCACGCGGCCCTCGATGTAGACCACGTGGCCGGGGTGCAGACGAACCGGTAGAGAGTAGGGCAGGGTCTACGTGGGGGGTGGGCACGGGCGAGACGATAGGTGAGTCACAGGTGCGTCACAGGTGTGTCACAGGTGAGTCACAGGTGCGTCACAGGTGAGTCACAGGTGCGTCACAGGTGAGTCACAGGTGAGTCACAGGTGAGTCACAGGTGAATCACAGTGTGGGACGCGGAGCGAGATCGGGGTGAGCGTGGCGGGTGGATGGCGGAGGAATGTCGAACACGGCAATGGTCGGCCACGATGGCGTGATGTTGTCTTCCTCGCCTGCTGTGCAGGAGGTCGGGGGTAGATCGATCCCAACACTGACACCTGTACATTTCGAGTTTGCACGTGCCTCCCCGTGATCGCGTGCATTTTTTTTCCTCCAGGTCTTCTGGTTTCCACCCCCCCCCCCCCCTCCACATTTAGAAACATGCGTTTAGATTATTTGGCTTTTTATATATTTTCACATAAGGGGCCGTCCATAAACGACGTCACGCGATTTTCGACCCCCCCCCCCCGTCACACGGCGTCACAAAGTCAGACCCCCCTCAAGTATGACGTCACAAAGCTCTGCCCCCCCAAAGATATATATAAAAAATGCTTCAAATGGCTTTAAACTATTGGCATTGTAGTGCGTATTTAATGTGGCGCTGTACTCTCATGTTGTAGGAGAAAACATTTATTACAAAGTCTATTTAATTAAGTTGCGCATTTTAATGTGACGTCACATTTCTCAAACCCCCCCCTCCCCCCTAGGTGCGTGACGTCATTTATGGACGGCCCCTAAGCCACTTCGTTCAGCAATCATGTGGCTGGATCACTTTGGAAAAAGAAGCTAGTGGGCTTTACCTGGTAAAATAGAAAGTTTAATTTTAATTTAAATTGTTTAGTGATTTGCTTACCTCTCCTATACTTTGCACTTCTATCATGTTTTTGTATTGTTTGTTGTAACTTTCCGACCCGCCTCCAACTGGACATCTGTGAAAAAGAGCTTTATAGCTCATCGGATTCCTCCGGTATATTTTGAGGGTTCGTTCGGCAGCGATTTCCGTGACGCGGCCTAACAGACAGCACCGTTCTCACTCGTGTTGAAGAAGTTCACGGTTCGAATACAGCGGCCGCCCCGAATAATGCTAATAATGGGGGTTTATCGACCGTTATTACACCAAGCACCGTCCGCTTCAAAGTGGACGTTCAACATCTCCCGGCGTCACTCTCAAGAGTTGGACATTATGCGCCGCCGGCGTCTGGGTCGGAATTTGCCAAATTTGCAAATTACAGTGATGGCATTCCTCGATTTATGAAAGGGATGCGTTCTTCAAAAGACACTCGATAAACGAAATTTCGCAAATCAGAACGGCGTTACCCCCTTAAGACCGAAAATTAGGGATGGGTTTCAGACAGTCATTCCATCTCTACTCCTAACCTAAATAGAACACACACACTCACACCTATAAATCACATTTCACAATGCGAACATCGTGACAAAGCTTTCGTGACTGCAGGAATTAATATTCTTTGGGGTCTGTCGGTAAAGTCACGTAGATAGGTTCAAAGAAAAGAACAAAAAAATAATGATGACGACCGCTTTGTATTGCGATCGAAACGTCGTAGTTTTTAGTTATTTTGTTAATTTCGTTTAAACCTATCTACGTCACTTTACCGAAAGACCCAAAGAATAAGAGGATTGAATAACAATAAATAACTTTTTCGGGGGAAACTCACCAAAATATCCGAATGTTGGAATGACTGGAAGGTGTGGGGGGGTTGCGTTACTTCAGCACTGTAGGGGGGTGCCGTGATGCAGCCTCCCGGGGTACCTTCTTGTTTGATGATCTCATGGCGTGGTGAAATATAGGTTGTTTTTTTAACGGCGGAAATTCGTAAAGCGAACGTTCGTAAATCGAGGGATACCCGTACTCAATTGAGATTAGACCTAACGAGCAGCCATCGCCGCCTAGTGGCAGCAGGCTGATCACCCAAGTCGCACTTGCAAATGAGAACTCATCACTCCCCTTGGCCTCGACAGCTCTTACCTGGCAAACAGAATACATCATTATGATCTCGCGGGAATACCCAACCAGCTTCTTTTTCATTTCAAGCTTTCGTGACTGCAGGAAGCCATACTCTTAGGCTATTTCGGTAAAGTCGCGTAGGTAGAAAATCAAATAAATCACGACGTTTCGGGCGCAACACAAGCGTCCATTATCAGGTGGGCTTTCCCACCTGATGGACGCCCACCTGATGATGGACGCTTGTGTTGCACCCGAAACGTCGTGATTTATTTATTACCCACGTGACTTTACCGAAAGAACCAAAGAGTATGGATCCCTGCAGTCACGAACGCTTCAAATCAAGATTGAACGGCATTCTTTATCTTTGGTGTTGTGCAAATAATCACGCACGTACACAAACTGCGGTTATCAAAGTTCTATTCCTGAGCACGGCTAATTTTAGTGGCACGTTATCTAGAAATATACCTGGGTTTCCCTGAAAGTTGGCTCAGCCTTAAGCGAGCATTCTATGCGGTGGACACATATCCGTTATTGGAGAGACAAAGGCGGCTGGGCGTGGCGTTCACCACCATCGTGTGCCATTACGGCTTTAACAAATGCTTGCTTAGAACAAATGCACGCCATGGTGTGCAAGTCCACGTGGTGTGTAATGATCTGTGTGTATGGTCGTCTTGTGTCTGCAAACAACACTTGCCCCAAAATTCTGTCAAGGCAATACGGGGGATCTTTGTCTTGTTTGTATGTGTGTATGTGCACAAATAGAAACGGGGAAGGTGATCTCACCGGGTTCACCACGCTTCTGAGTGCCTCCATCATGATCCAACAATGTTCCTCCTGAACACGTGGTTGGCTGCTCTTGGTTGCTGGTGGTTGTGGTGGGGGTGGTCAACTATTCCTCCTGTTGAACCAGATTCCCTGCTTTTATACCCCGCTCCCTCCCCCCTCCCATCCCTCAACTCCCACCACCTCTCAAATTGTCTCTATCTTTGTATGTCGTGTTCACGAGGAGCGGTGATGCAACGGTTAGCGCGCTGCTCTACGAAACGGCTAACACCGGTGACGATTATCTGAACCGATCCTGGGCCTCCCCTAGGTCGACTCAGCCTCAAATGTGTACCTGGTGCGATGTGTAAAACATTGCCACTGGGGAGACAAAGGCGGTCGGGCGTGGTGCTGGCCACCCACCCCCTCGTGTGCCATGCTGGCCTTCATAGGTGCTCGCTAACAGCACTTGCCCCTACAGTCTGCTAAGGCTATACGGGGGATCTCTGTCTTTGTGTTCGTGTGTATGCCGCCACGGAATGCAAGCGTGCGCGCTCTTAAAATCAGTGCTCCCGAAGGCCACGTGGACCCTATTGTTTCGCAATCACCAGGCCCGTGCAGCGCGTAACGAGGTTGATTAGTCGTTGGACGGTGTGTAGATTTCGTAAGCATGGGAGAGTCGGGGTGTCAACAGAGGGGGAGCTAACAAAAACTCCCCAAGAGTGTGGGGGGGTGGTGGGGTGCATTTAAAATGTACAATATTCATTCAACGTATTTTCTCTGGTAAGCGTAAACAAGTTATAGCGCCTCATTTTCAGGGTCTCAAGAGGAGAGTGGGACAGCTCTCCATCGCCCTCCTTGGATCAACTCTCTCTGCGGTGGGCGGGCGAGGCCTGGGGTCGGAGGCTCAGAACTTCAGTTACCAATAGAAGTGGCGACTATTTTCGCGATGCCAGTTTAGTAGCACGTGGATTTAATTAAAGGTGGATCACGTGAGATGAGCGTTATGGCATCGTTCACTCTTCGTTGGCGATTTACAGATGTTGGTACAATCCACGTGTTGTCATCTTTCAAGTAAAATCATGGTTGTTTTCTCTCTGAGCCCATGGCCCACGGAGAGAGTGTTGGGAAATGTCTCTCTCTGCTGGAGGAAGCGGCAGTATCCACTTACAGGCAGGCCTCGCTTAACGCTCCAATATACGTTCCTGGATATGTGAGCGTTCATCGAATCAGCGTACTACGGGGTCGCGCTAAGCGAAGTCTGCATGGGATATTTATGTCGCGCTATTTCCAGTTGTAAGGCGACTTCTTCAGTTGGTGGTTGTAATTAATAATTGGCGTGGAAAATCCACTCGTGAATTGAATACAGTACCGTATAATAAACACGTGCTCAATATTCAGCTTCGTTCTGGAGAATGTTATTAATACAAAATCTTAACTTTTACCCCGTATCTGTCTCTCCGCATTAAAACAATAAATGTGATGAAAGAGAAAACAAATTGTTAACACCTCCCATCGACTGCACGGCCTTCTGGGAGTGCATCTGAGCAGCAGCAATGCGAGCCAACTTTGGGACATATTTCGACATTCAGTGGCTCATCAGCAGCCACGCTTGCTTGAACCAATGCCGGTGACCTGCCCGATATTTATACTTTCCCTAGTCCTGTAGTGCATAATATCGACGAGTCTTGGGACTCGATGTGGCATCTCCTGGAGACGCGAGTTCAATGAGTGTCTGTGTTGGCTTCGTGTTTAGAGCGCGGCTGAGTGGACGCGCGGTAACGATGGCACGAGGCGCCGATGGTGGCGATGGCAGCGGACGGCACTCACGGGGTGTTTTGGGGGGGATAAGGTGGGGGCAGTGAGAGAAGCCACGTGGATGATCTTTTTTTTCTGCTCAGGCCAACAGCAAGCAGCGGCCACGGAAACTCGTCGTTATTCACTCAGCGCATCAGTTCAAATATTCGCTAAATGCACTACCATGCACAGACAAAAGATCCCCCCCCCCCTCGTATAGCCTAAACAGACTGTTGGGGAAAGTGCTCTTAGCGAGTAGCGTCTACAAAGGCCGGGACGGAACACGAGGGGGGTGGGTGGCCGGAACCACGCCCAGCCGCCTTTGTCTCCCCAGTGGCGATGTTTGCACATCGCATCAGTTATTAATTTGAGGCTGAGTCGACCTAGGGGAAGGCACAGGGTCGGTTCAGATAATCGTCACCGGTATCGGCCGTGAATGGGAATCGAATTCGAGTCGATGGTTTCGGAACGCAGTGCGCTAACCTCTGCGCCACCGCTCCTCTCAACAGACACTCACGCGCACAATGTCTCTGTCTAATGTTTGACTCGGCGCTCTGTTCGTCACGTGTGACAAATACAAAGACACAGATCCCCTGTGTAGCCTTAACAGACTGTTGGGGCAAGTGCTGTTAGCGAGCGCTTATGACAGCCGGAAACGGCACACGAGGGGGTGGGTGGCCAGCACCACGCCCGGCCGCCTTTGTCTCCCTAGTGGCGATGTTTAGACCACCTCACCAGGTACACACACACACACACACGATCCGTACCTTAATCGGTGATGTATATTTGTCCATTCGACACCCCTTGCCCGTGACACTGGGTGCTAAGTGATCAGTGTGGGTGTGTGTGACGTTGAACGAGCTCACCAATGCTGCTGTGTCAGCATCCATTATCACGGACACTTGGAGGGGGATCACTGTAATGAGTTTATTAAAGCAATCAAGCTGCCATTCTCTCATTACCAAAGGCGATCTCAGCTCATTGCCATTCAATGTGACAATTCGAGACGTCATCCCTTTACACGAGAACACGTGCGCGTACCGTCACTTTGTAACAGCTGCTCTGTAGGACGTTCGCAGGAACCACATCGTTAAAGAGACTAATTTATTTGTTCAACTTTGGAGGAAACACGAATGCCCGGAGAAAAGCCATCGCGTGTGCCGCATTCTCCCGATTGAGAGACGCACGAACCCCTTCGTTGCCGGCCCTCACGGGCGCTCGCTAACAGCACTTGCGTCAAAAAGTATTTCAAAGGCTATGCGAGGGGATCTTTGTCTTCGTGCGTGTGACCAGATTTGTGCGAGTTTATTGACACCAGGCACGAGGATGGCGGGGATGCGTCTTACTTTCCGGAGCGTCTTACAAACAGAACAATAATGAAATCTCCGCTGGCTGAACGGACAATCTTCATGCGCCCAAAGTAAACCGTGCATGCGCCAGATCTCGTTACTTGTTTGGAAGCTAAGCAGGGAATACTCAGCCTGGTTTGTACGGGGATGAGAGACTGCCTGAGAACACCAAGTGTTGTCAGCTTGGGTTGTGAGGAGGCCAGGTGATGGTAGCACAGAAACGGAATCTGCGTGGAGATTTTGAGTGTTGTGCCCTCGTATTTGTGATGGGGTTTTCTCCGGTTGGATTCCTTCCGCACGAAGCCCAACTTTCATTAAAGGAATTAGCCAAAGATCCCAATGCGGCAGGACCCTCATGGCAACGGCTCTCGAGACTCGGCGAGGCATTCCCAGGTGAATACAGAGCATCTGTTGTTGTCATTCGCGGTACCGTCGACAAATCAAGTCTCCATATTCGTCTCACCGTGGTTGCCAAGCACAGCAGCAACATCCACCCACTCAGCTGATGACCAAGTCACTCCGGAATGCGCCCGATCTCGTCAGATCTCCGAAGCATGGCTGAGCCTGGATAGTGCCGGCGCTTGAATGGGCGACCACCACCGTGCATAACAGGTGCTATAGGCTGCCACGGGGCCACGCGGTTTGCGGCAGAGGGCAGTTCAGCAAATCCAATTGTTGTCCTGCGCTATGCATCAACGCCAATGTGCCCCACCTTTACCATCCCGCGATGACCAGCATGGTGAAGTATGGTCAACCACAACAACCCCACATGTGCATGCAGAACGAAATTGGGGAGGCCCTCAACCACATTAACTCATCATCATCTTCAGCCATGCTCACTCTACTGCTGGATGAAGGCCTCCCCCAAGCCGTCACCGTCCCCTGCGACGCTAACGGTGCAATGATCCATTTTGCACAGATGAATTCGTTGCTCCATCTCCACGGTGGTGGAACACCAGTCAGTTGTTTCGCAGTGACCGGAGGTTCAGGGGGCACTCAAACTTCGCTAAAGGGATGATCGTCTTCTTGAACAGTGATAGGATCCGACATTCACATTGGACTTTCATGGAGGGCACAGGGGGCATTCGGGAATTATGGGCCAGAGGCAAAAAGCTGCGCGGTGATGATTTGTTGATCAGGGTTAAAGACCCAGGGAGGGATAGGAAGGGTCTAGTTAGGGTTGACGATCCAAGGTTTTAGGAAAAAGGCTCTTTGGGTCTGTTTATCAAGAAATTATCAGAATGCCCTCGCTATGATTGGAGGCAGGGCTTAATTTCTCACGGGGCGTTTTCCGGGTCGCTGGGGGACGAGTGAAGGCCACGTGTTGTTCGCAGCCACGGCTGCTTGTCACTTAAAACATTTTACCCGGATAATCCCTTCATATGCAGCATCTCGTTTGCAATCATGCCCACGGGTGTAACAAGATGTATACTGGATGTGGTGTGCTGGGTGCATCAATTATTCCTCGGTCGCCAACCCAGGACACACCCACGTGAAATTAAGGCCCTGGTTGGAAGTCCAAATAAAGAGAGAGTGGGAGGGGGTAGTGGTGGCGGGGTTCTGGATAAGAGTTTAAAGGAGTTGCGTTGAAAGGCATTTGGATTGTTTTGGAGTTGGCGGTTCGGGTTTTGGGTCGAAATTCAGGTTTTGGGATTGTAGGTGCAGGGCGGGATGGGAGCCCTAGAGGTCGCCCTGCCGCACGGCTGTGAGCGTTACATCCCCCTCCACGCTGAACGCCGTGACGCTGGCGAGCTCGCCCACGCGGTGTGCGAAGTCGCACACGGGCTCGCCCCCAACCTTCAAGGCAAGGTTCGACTCCCCGCAGCTCACCTCCAGCTGTAGACAGACAGACAGAGCGGCACATAGACAGGCAGGTGGTCACACAGGCATAGATTCAGGATAGATAGAGATGATGGGAAGATAGAGAGACAGAGACACAGACAAACAGAGATTCGGACTAAACTAAAACTATTAAAAAATTATAAACTACTTTTTATTTCACCAGATAAAGCCCGCTGAGCTACGTAGCTCTTTTTCAGAAGCGACATGGCCACAAATGACAGCTCAACGAAGTGGCTTATCATCACGTGGAAATGTAGAGCAGCCAAATACTCTAAATGCATGATTCTAAATGTGTAGGGGAAAACCCAGAAAAAAATCCACGCGATCACGAGGAGAGAGACACCGCAAACTCCAAATATACAGCAGGCGTCAGAGGGTCAGGGACCGAACCCACGACCTCCTGCATACCAGGCGAGGGAGACAACATCTCGCCACCGCGGCGCCCCAGACAGAGCAAGAGAGACCGGAGAGAGGAGTGATATAAGACTGCGGCATCGTGCTCACCGTGAATGTCTCCCCACGTGTGAAGGGGTTGACCCCCCCTCGCTCCTCGGCCCCCCACGCACCCCCAATCTTGGCATTCCGCACAAGGGCTCCCCCTCCGTCGGCGCTGAACCGCGGGTTCACGTGCAGAGCGATGTCCTGTCCGCCTTCCCGAATGAGGTTCACGGCAAACCTGGGGGAGAGACACCGGGACACGGAGTCACAGAGACACAGGGACATGGGGACACATAGACATTGGGACACAGAGACATAGGGACACGGGGACATGGGAACATGGGGATACGGAGACACGGAAAGCTTCACTGAGTCTCAACTCTTTTTTCAGGAGGGTCCTGCCATGTTTTCGCAGTAGGGGGCGATGTTGCTGTGTCGAGTTCTATGCAGGTTACATTTTCAGCAATGGGATGGACGCTTTGGCCAATATCATTTAAACCGTAAACCTTGCAGCTATGAGAGGAAAGCAGAAGAGGGGGGAGAAGAGACAAACTCAAGCATCCTCACACAACAGCACTCATGCACACACCACAGAACAATGACGGTCGCTGTATCGCGCACTCTCGGATGCGCTTTCTGCAGCCGTCTGCAATTCTCTTGTTTCCGATATTTGGAAGCCATTGGAGCTGTGCAACTTTTAAATCTAGATTCAAAACTTATTTCTTTACAACTACTTTTTGTGTTTAGTTTGTCGTCCTTCTCCCGTACCTCCGATTAGCATGGTTGGCGACGTACGGTGCGAAAGAAGTCCAACATATTTACATACATACATACACTCACTCACACAATCTGCAGAAGAACGGTAGAACGTCAAAACTCCACGCAGAGGCGCACCCGAGTCAAGAATTGAACCCAGGGTATTCTTGCTGCGAGGCGCAAGCTGTGCTCCGCCCTGCAAGCCCCGGTAAAAGTCAAAGGCCACTACAGACGAGCGGGGAATGGAGGGGGGTCATGCGTGGGAACGCCGGGGGCTCCTTCGGTGCACCTGTTGGCTTCAGCCGGCACGGCGCCTTCCAGGGTGAGGCTCCATCCCGGGTGGAGGCCTCCGTCGATGACGCCGTCGTGCGGGACGCTCTGCGGGGGAGAGGAAGGGAACGAGTGACCAGACTCCCCCAGACACGGAACGAGTCGACTGCAGCCTTTGCCCAAACTCGGGTGTTCGCGACCACCCCCCACCAACTCACCACCCCCCACCAACTCACCACCCCCCACCAACTCACCACCCCCACCAACTCACCACCCCCCACCAACTCACCACCCCCCACCAACTCACCACCCCCCACCAACTCACCACCCCCCACCAACTCACCACCCCCCACCAACTCACCACCCCCCACCAACTCACCACCCCCCACCAACTCACCACCCCCCACCAAACCACCACCCCCCACCAACTCACCACCCACCACCCCCCACCCCCCACCAACTCACCACCCCCCATCCCCCACCACCCCCCACCAACCCACCCCCCACCACCCCCCACCACCAACCCACCCTCAACCCACCCCGCTACGTCTGTCCGCGTTCACCAATTTACTCCGCTCGTTCAAATACCAAAAAATAACTCGTTCCACGCTGCACGCGCCCGATGATTGTTAAACGCGGCCCACGTGGTTTTTTTCCCCTCCAACCCCCACCCACCCACCTCGTTCCCTCCCCCTCCGCTCCTTTTTCCCGTCTCGCTTTGACGTCAGCTATAGTCCCCCTTACCGTTCCCTCCCCCATTGTGAACTTTCACTTCTCTGCTAAAGCCCAATCCGCCAGCCCTCTTCACCAAGCCCAGCCGCGTCGATCTCGGGATTTTGCTCGCGGAATTTTTGCCCTCCTCCCTGGGCCGGATCAAGGCGCGGGGGCTTTAGGGGTTGCAGCCCAGGGGCCTCCGCCACCTTAAGGGGCCTCCGGAGATTAAGTAACGAGTGATTTCATTTGTGAATGCTGAATTTTATTTGTTGTTAGCCTTGTGAAAGTAATGTTTTATTTTTCTTGAACTTTGTTTTCCTTTTGAAAATATTACTGGGGGGCCTCACAGTGCCACCTGTAGCCCAGGAGCCTACAGAATCTTAATCCTACCCTGCCTCCTCCTCCCCCAACCCTCTTCTTGTTCTGTGATCGGTGCTGTGTACCGGGCTCCCGTTGAGTCCCAAGTGACGCGCTAAGCAATACATATATAAAGGTCGCTTCTGTAAACAAAAAAAAAGCTATACAGCTCAGCGGTGCCTTACCCGGTACGGTGAAATAAAAAAAATAGTTAACAGTTTAATGTAAGGCACGAGGCCGAGCGAGATGCGTCGACACACGGAGCTGCAACGAGTCGGTGGCCACAGCTCTCCACGTGACCCACCAACTCGACAGCAGCAGCGGCAGCATCCGCGCTCTTCCCTCCCTCCGCATCCGCAGCGACCTCCCCTCCAGCCTCCTCCCCCAGCTCTCCCTCTGCGGCTCCGCTTCCCTCGCCCCCCTGCTCGCCAGCTCCCTGTTCCTCTGCCGCTTCCTCCGGTCCGGGTTTCTCCTCCTCGGGCACTGGCTCCTGTTCTGCCTCCTCCCCAGCTCCACCTTCCTCTGGCGCGGATCCCTTCTCCTCTACCGCGGGTGCCTCTTCCTCCTTCGCAGGTTCCTCCTCCTGCTTGGCATCGGCTCCCTCCTCCTGCTTGGCATCGGCTCCCTCCTCCTCCTTGGCTTCGGGTCCTCCTTCCTCGGGCGTGTCAGCCACAGTCAAGTTCGACACGGCATCCTGCAGCTGCGGGCGAAACGGAGAGATGCAACAGTTTGTCGAGCACGGGGCCGGCAAATACACGGCACTGTTCGAAGTCGTGACCGATACGGATGAGCATGTTTCTTGAATTAAGCAAGCTTTATAATCGTTATTATTTATTGCAAAAGAGACGATGATGATCATGATGTATGGATGGAATTTTACAGTGGAGCAGTGCAAGTGGAGGGGCACTGAAGAGCAGTGTAAGTACCTGCAGCGTGGTGAGTGGGTGGGTGGGTGAATGGGTGGGTGGGTGAGTGAGTAGGTGAATGGGTGGGTGGGTGAGTGAGTAGGTGAATGGGTGGGTGGGTGAGTGAGTAGGTGAATGGGTGGGTGGGTGAGTGAGTAGGTGAATGGGTGGGTGGGTGAGTGAGTAGGTGAATGGGTGGGTGGGTGAGTGAGTAGGTGAATGGGTGGGTGAGTGAGTGAGTCGGTGAGTGGGTGGGTGGGTGAGTGAGTAGGTGGATGGGTGGGTGAGTCAGTGAGGAGGTGAATGGGTGGGTGAGTGAGTGAGTAGGTGAATGGGTGGGTGAGTCAGTGAGGAGGTGAATGGGTGGGTGGGTGAATGGGTGGGTGAATGGGTGGGTGGGTGAGTGAGTAGGTGAATGGGTGGGTGGGTGGGTGAGTCAGTGAGGAGGTGGGTGGGTGAGTGAGTAAGTAGGTGAATGGGTGGGTGAGTCAGTGAGGAGGTGAATGGGTGGGTGAGTGAGTGAGTAGGTGAATGCGTGGGTGGGTGAGTGAGTGAGGAGGTGAATGGGTGAGTGAGTGAGGAGGTGAATAGATGGGTGGGTGGGTGAGTGAGTAGGTGCATGGGTGGATGGGTGAGTGAGTGAGGAAATGAATGGGTGGGTGGGTGAGTGAGTGAGTAGGAGAATGGGTGGGTGAGTTAGTGAGTAGGTGAATGGGTGAGTGGGTGAAGGAGCAGCAAGTGTAGCGGTTAGTGCGCTGCGCTACAAACCCGGCGACCAGAGTTCGATTCCCGCTCACGGCCAACACCAGTGACGATTATCTGTACCGATCCTGGGCCTCCTCTAGGTCGACTCAGCCTCAAATGAGTACCTGGTGCGGTGTGTAAAACATCGCCACTGACGAGACAAAGGCGGCCGGGCATGGTGCTAGCCACATCGCCCCAGCGTGCGTCGTGCCGACCTTCATAGGTGCTCACTAAAGATCACTTGCACCCTTGCCCCAATAGTCTGTTAAAGGTTATACGGGGGTCTTTGTCTTTGTGTGCGTTTATGAAGAGCAATGTAGTTCAATGCAAGATAAACTGTGTCAATGCAATACAATCTTGACTTAAAGCTTTCGTGACTGCAGGAATTCATATTCTTGGGTCTTTCTGTAAAGTCACGTAGGTAGGTTAAAAAAAAACAATCAAAAATAACAAAAAACTACGACGTTTCGATCGCAACGCAAGCGGTCGTCTTCAAGAAAAGGGAGACGACCGAAACGTCGTAGTTTTCTGTAATTTTTTATTGTTTTCTTCTGAACCTATTTCCGTGACTTTACCGAAAGACCCAAGAAAAGTGTAATGAAATGTTTAGAGTCTCGGTTCAATCCCCTTACCGATAAATCGCCGCTGTCCGGAGTCACTGGCGGAGGGAGTTCCTCCTGGCATCGTGAGACACACGGGAAGACGCACGGAGACGAGGAGAGAGACACAGAGACAGACAAATAGAGCAAGATACAGAGATGAAGAGACACAGGGAGACACGGGGAGACAATGGGAAATATTGGGAGACACACGGAGACAGGGAGAGACACCGGGGGACACAGGGAGACAAGCGGGGATGACGCGCGTTAACCCACACGGGTGGCGGTTGCTACATACACCGTGTGGCCTGTCATCCAGCACTGTGAATCTCCCTTCCCAAGGGCGTCGAGGTGCCAGACCCCGGCTCGCCAACGGAGGGCAGTACGGCAATTGAGGACCTCACCTGTTTCGTATGTACACTTTATTGGTTAGAGTCTTGCCACATCGCGCGCTCGCGCGCGGGTTCTTTCCGGGTTTTCCGGTTTTGGCCCACGTATAAATACTCATTAATTGGCCGAAAACACCTTCATATACACAGGACCGCAGAGCTTGGCCAATTGTGGACACCGGCTTCACCGGCGTGGCTGTTGCCTCCCAGCCCACCTGTGGTTCCTCCTCGCACCTCTTGAGTCATTTCTCTCTCTCCCTCCGAGAGGAAAGCGAAAAAAGTTGCCGCGTTTCGAAACTGTCAAGTGGCTGTCCCGTGGGATTCCGATATTCGCCACAATTTCAAATACACCGGCACCCCCACGAAACGAGAGACCGAGAGGCAGGGATGAGTGAGTAGTGGCGGTGGGTGGGTGCCACGGTGGCGAGATGTTGACTACCTCGCCAAGTATACAAAAGGTCGTAGGTTCAATCCCGACGCTGACGCTTGTATATTTGGAGTTTGCTTGTTCTCCCCGTGGCTGCGTGGATTTTTCTTCCAGGTCCTCCGATTTTTTTTCCCCTCTCCACATTTAGAATCAACATGCATTTCGAGCATTTGGCTGCTGTACATTCTGCCACTTGGTCGAGCTATCATTTGTGGCCCAGGTCGCTTCTGAAAAAAGAGTTCTGTAGATAGCTCAAGTGGCCCTTAGCTGGTAAAAAAAAAAAATGTGTCCATAGTTTATACTCACGTCCGTACAGGCGGGGGCGAGCACTCGCAGGAGCGACACGTGGGCCGTGGGTTTCAACTCGAGGCGGTCAACGGTCTGGAGCGCGCAGCGGTGAGCGAACTCCAGCACGGGGGACGAGTCACACAGCAGGACCTGCGTGTGGGAGAGGTCGGGAGGGTGACAGGGAGAGAGCGTGTGTGTGTGTGTCGAGTGGGAGAACGTGCGGTGTGTGAGAGGGAATGTATCAGGGAGTATGAGAAGGGGGTAGTGTAGTGGGTTAGCGCGCTGCGCCCATAGATTATCTGAATCGGTCCTAAGGTCGACTCAGCCTCAAATGAGTGCCTGGTGCGGTGTGTGAACATCGGCACTTGGGCGTGGTACTGGCCACCCACCCCCTCGTGTGCCGTGCCGGCCTTCATAGGTGCTCGCTAACTGCACTTGGCCCAAAAGTATGTTAAGGCTATACGGGGATTCTTTATATTATTTATATTTGTTTGAGTGTACGAGTGTGTTAAAGCGCCCCCCCCTCCTACCCCAAGCCAATCAAGACCACTGGCCCCAGTGCCCAACATCATCTCGAGAAACTTCACCTGCACGGTATACATGCCGCAGCCTGCGTCCACCCAACCGCCCACCCCACCCCCTCCCCTCTGAATGGCTTGAAAACCGCTAGGCCCGTGGTCTTCATTGCAAGGCACGCGGGCCACTGGCGGCCCCTGGTGGCCTTTAGGGCCGCCCCTGACGTGCAGCCCCCGAAAATACACAACACGTGGGAACATCAACCCATCATCGTCATCGTGCTGCTGTCAAACCCAGCAATGGTTTCCGATGCGTGGCGGTCCTCACACTAATGACGTCTTATCGGCGAAAGTGCCCCCCCCAACCCACCCACCCCGTTCTGACAATTAGTGAGGAACACTGCACTAGGCTACAATCACCACTATATACACCCCCTCACAGTGTAACCATGCAAGCCCCCCCCCCCCACAAAATCGATGGACAAATTGATTGTTTTTCCTCCTGCACGGTATCCATGCCCGCAGGCTTGCGTTCGGAGCGCTACATCACCCCCCACGGCTCCACCGCTCACCTTGTAGCCCTCGTCGTCCACGGCGATGGACAACTTGAAGTCGGTCTCGCGGCACCAGGGCGCTGCCGCGAGTCGCTCCTCGCGTCCCCACGCGCCGCCCGCGCGCGAATTCAGCACCAGGAGGCACTGGGAGTCCGAGTCGGGCCCCCACCGGGGGTTCACGTGCAGAGCCACGTCCTCAGCGGCGCACAGGTTCACAGCGAACCTGGGGGGGGGGGGGCAGTGTCGGATTAAGCTCGTGCGGGGGCTGTAGCATATGTTAAAAATGGGCCCTACATTTAAAAAAAAACATAAATATTCAAACACAATTTTATTTTACTTGCATAGTAAAGTAATTGTATTTTTTTCGTTTGCTATACAGTCAGATAATACGACAAATCGCTAACCTTAAACACCCAGTCGTTCATATAAGTTGAAGGCGGTATAGTACTATAGTAATAGAGCAAGTGCAGAATCACTGAACCGGAATTGATCGCTTGAAAAGCATTTAGCGCGGGGCCCTTGAACGTGCGGGGCCCGTAGCTACTACTACATGTGTAGCTACTTGTGCTACTAGGATAATCCACCACTGGGTTCGGGGGGGGGGCACACGGGGGGACACACGGGGACGCACACACGAGATCGAACCGTCACCATCCTTCCCCTACCCCCCCCCCCCCCCAGCAAGTACACAATAACACACAATAACAGCCTTTTTTCGCATTGCGCAACAGACCATGAAGAGTTCCCGAGGAAATGCATCGAGGTCCCGAGATCGCCCTTTAAATACGCCGTGAGCAATTGCTGTGACCGATGCAAGCAGTGAGACAGAGAGGCGACAGTAAGAGCGATTTCGCCCCTTGTTAGTCACCAGTGCTCGCAGACGATGATCTTTTTGCCACTTGTGGCGGTGAGCGATGGCGCGTCCATCGCCGTAATTCGTGTGCAGTTTTGCTCTACGCCGTGCGCGTCGTGAAGGTTATTTGACTATACTTGTTATACTTCACCACGATTTAGTCCATGGCACGGCTCGGTCAACCTGCGACTCGGGAGCCGCGTGCGGGCTCTCTCTAAGGACCGCTCCGTGACGTTACTTTACCAAGGACCCACCGTCTCGTATTCGCACGCATTACGGATCTTGAAATATCGAGTTTGGATTGTTTTCTTCTTCTTTTACCGAATTCGAAACAAAAAAATTGTCTCTTCTCGCTATTTCGGTTGCCCACTCCCCTTGTTCTAGGGCGGAGTGGGAACAGAATAAGCACTCGACTCGAACCAAATGACGTGGAACGATCAAATGTGGCACGGTTTAAAAAGCGCCGTTGCTTGAAGCGTCGCATATTATATGCCGCGTATATTTAGCCTTTTAAGACCACAGTGTCGTTGACAAATGTGTGCAGTGTGTTGTTAATTGCGCTTTGAGCAGCGCTGCCAACGCGGGGAGTAAACTGTGTCCAGTCGTGTGCCAATCCACTGCTGGATGAAGGCCTCCGCCCCCACACTGTGTCGATCACGGGGGAGAGGGGTTTGATTGACTATACTTCACCACGCTGGGCAGAGTGCGTTGGTGAAGGAGTAGGATGGGGAAACCCAGAACAGGACCGGTTCACAGAGATCACTCGCCACGGCTGGGAATCGAACTCAAATTTCGCCGGGTTCATAGCGCAGCACGCTAACCACTGCGCCACCGCTCCATCCGCTCGTCGAGTATTATTGCAGATGAATGGCAAGCTGCCAAACGTTCTGAACGTGGCCTGAACGTGAGATGCTCAATAAACGTGAATCCTTTATCCTGCGGTCAGAGTAAAACCGCCGTGCTTGCGTCAACAACGCTACGCTAATCAATAATTACGAACGTGCACTGTGTATTGTTACAGTACATTATTGGCAAAAGTGGCTAGTGTGGCAAAACGAATAATTGTACTCTACTCCTGTGTTCCTTCCCATGCCCAAGTGTAACCCCCCACCCCACCACCACCCTTCACCAACCCCGCACTGAGCCGCATGGTGAAGTATGGTCAAAATAACCACCTCGATTCGCAAGGCGTGCAGAAGTCCTCGGCCAGCATTTAAATTGACGGAGACCAGAAGTTGTACAGTGCACGCGCATGTCATCATCGCCATTGTTAGCCACGGTCAATCCACTGCTGGATGAAGGCCTCACGCATGTAACATTATAATTAGTAATGCAGTCCTAAGAATGGCATTTATCCAGGAAAGCATCGCTTGAGTCTCAAGACTCCTTTTAAGGAGGGTCTTGTTACCCTGGGTATGTTGGCCAATTATTTGAAATAATAACAACAATCTATCACAATTATTACTATTATTTTTTTCATTTTAGGAGTTAAGTCAAAGTACCCGGAGAAAACCCCACCACGCATTACTCTACATACGAGGAGAGGGCACTCACAAAGAGGTCGCCTACACAGAACGGGTTCACGATCCCACTACTTGCCATGTCGCCTCGTTCACCCCCGTGGCCAGCCAGGCCTAGTCAAAGGGGGGGGGGGGGGGGGGGAGTTTCGCAACTCTTTCCGTGATCCACCAACCCTGTCATCTAATGAAGCGCTGGATCGGCGCGGGTGGTTTGGGGTTCGCCGTAACGTGCCTCGCGCCACGCCCCGCGAATCACGCGGGGGTGCCATGTGACCCAGGACCGCGTCGCTGACCCTGGCCCAGTTGTCTCCCGGCGTCTTTAATTAACAAGTCGAAGCTAATGGGTCCCTGCGAGAAGTCACGCGCGGGTGAATTCATTCGCACCTGCGCGGTTTGTGTGGAACACGAGGAGTGGCCTGGACTTGCATTGAAAGGAAAAAAAGACACGATCGCAAGTTTGAGATGGGACCCGGCCCGATCTCATGGAATCTGTAACAGGTCCGATTTGTATCGGATCGTGCACGAGCCTGGGGATCGAAATGGGATATGATTTGGATGAGATTAGATCACAATGGACGGATAAAATTGTTGCAGGAGCTTAATGATCTGATTAAATTGCATGGCGTACATTTCTGATAATTAGAAGGGATGAAATAATATCACATTAGAATTAATTAGAGCGTGTACATATCTAAGAATCCGATGAGATCCAATTACCTGTGATTGGATTTGTATCAGATAAAATTGAATACAAGTATTTACGAGTCTGAGAACCAGATGGGATCATATCGGATCGGAATCGGATCCCTTCGCACCAAAGTGCATGGGATTGGCGTGCGCGTCTGAGAATCAGGACAGGATGGATTAGACGCGTTCGGTCCAAGATCGGATCGTGCACGAGTCTGAGATTCCAGAACACATATATCGGATGGGATTCTGCACCGCATCATGCCCCGTGCGCATTCCCGATGAGGGCGTTGGGTGTGGGATTGTGACGCGTGACGTCACCGCTTTGGACAAGGCGAGCAGGGGAGGATGACAGCGTAGATTGCACGGCCACTCATCGATCCGTTGCGGCAAAACGAACGATTCCGCTGAAAGGTCGCCGCCGACAGCTGACGGTTGACGTTTACCGAAGACAATCGCGATCAAACAATACAAAGACGATAGCCGATCAATCGATTAATCGATGAATTAGTCGCGAACGATACGAACCGTTCCGAGTCCTCCGGCACGCGGCCCTCCACGCTGATCACGTAGCCCGGGTAAAGACGAATCGGGAGCGACACGGGCAGGATCTGGCGGCCGGGGGGTGGGGGGGGGGAGGTGGAAGAAGGGGTGGGGGGGGGGGTGACAGGTGAGGCGGCGTGGGATAGGTGAGGCGAGATGATGGGTGAGGAGTGTGGGGGTGAGCGGCAGATCCTCGGCTCGTTCACACAACGGCATCGGCGCACCTCGCTGTGCTTCACGATGACCGTATCCACGGGATTTATAGGATGCACCGGAAAGCATCCCCTTTAGCCCAAACGTGTGTAAGTTGTCATGAAAGTGATACATATGTGATATCACACAAGCGGTTTGATTATAAGACGCACATTCAACTTTTGCTTTAAAATACTGGAGGGGGGGGGGGGGGTGGCGGAGAATAAGGTAAAGGAAATACTTGATCCCGCCATAAGAACATGGAATTTCCCTCAGCGATCACAGCTTAAGGACCCAAAGTGGCTAAAATTCACTTCAGCAACGTCTGAGGTTTTGCAATCATCACGATCTGGGCTCGGTCCGGAACGTCGCCACCTCCCCTCTCCGACAGCGTTGGCGGGAGGGGAGACGGAAAATATTTTCTAGAACTCGGCCATGGATAGCTCCAGCTACCATTAAGCCCCCCCCATAATCACTATTGTCACTGATGTATGTTAGCCAGATGAAAGCCATTCTCAAGTGAAACCTGATTTATATATGAACAAAAAATTGTGGAAATCTTATTTCAGTGTTAACATTTGTGCTGAAACACGATGTCGTTCGTAATTACCCGTGCCAGGTGTCAATAAAGTTACACAAATGACATCGCTCTCACACACAGCTACCGGATTGGAAGACGCCGCACGACTTTTGCTTTAAAATACAAGGGGAATTAGAGCGTCACGCAATGCAGAAAATACGTTATATTTGTTTTTATGTTTCATGTCAATATTATTATACACACGTACAGTTATTGTTAATAGCTAATACGCAGATGCTCTGTACGAATTATATAATTGACCCAAGAGGTCTAACTTACAAAATAATAAAATCTTACATATATTCTTGGTTCTTTCGGTAAAATCACGTAGAAAGAACCAAGAATATGAATCCCTGCAGTCACGAAAGCTTTAAATCAAAATCTTACATCTAATTTCGTGTTTAAAATACGTTCTGTATGCATTAAAATGTACAATCGATATTGCAACAGCAATTGAATACTGTATAGAATAGAAATGTGAGTATGCATTTATCTTCGTGTGTGTCTTGCACTTCATAGACCGCAGAGGAAAGCGCTGTTTGCGAGCACCTATTAAAGCCGACAAGTCTTGTACTAGCAAGCATCTGTGTATGAATGTTAAACTTCTTTCGCACCGTACGTAGCCAACCGTGCTAATCGGAGGAGCTCTATGCGTCTGTGTGGGTTCGATTTCCGACCCAGTCCTCCACCTCGATCTCTCCTAAGTCCACCCAGCATTGTAAGTGAGCACGGTGCCTGGCGGCAGTGTCTAAACATCAGCACTGGGGGATACAAAGGCGGTCGGCCGTCATGCCTAGACACACTAACCCTGCAGTTGCATTGTCGTGCGGGCCTCAGTAGCTGATGGCGAACAGCGCTTGTCTCATAATAAGAGTTAAATTGGGTTAGATCGCGTAAATATAAATGTGTCGTTAACCCCACCACCACCCGACACAGCCAATTAGCAAGGTCCGCCACGTAAACAAAACGTGCCGAATAGTGACTACTTCAGCACACCGGTGTGTTGCAGAGTAAACCCACTACATTTACCATTCGAGTACGACGTTTCTCTGGTGATGACAACCAGCTTCATCAGGCGATTTGCCGGAATTATGAATAATATTGGTGGCGAAAGCGCTCGCCTCCTTGCGCCGTGCTATGGCGATGCGTGGTGGTAGCTGGTGATGAAGAGTGGGGTTTGTCTGGCGGGTGAGTGCGTGCGCCCGGGTTCGGAGTCTCACCGGGTTCTCCATGACTGTGCAGGTCTCCATGGTGCCAACGCGAGGTTCCTCTTTCTGCTGCAGCGGCCTCGAGTTGAGCGTCTATATCCTGGGCTCGAACCTCCTCCTCCCCTTCTCCTCCTCCCCCCTCCCTCCTCCTCCTCCCTCCATCTCTCCCTACATCTCTCCATCCCTCCCTGTGCCAAGTCTCCCACTATCTCCCCCCCCCGCCCTCCCTCCCTTGGCCCTACCCTGCTTGGCCTGGCTCTGGATCTCTCAATCTCCCTGCGTCTCACCCTGCCTGATCTTTGGTTCGTTTTCTTTCCACGTGATTCCCTGCCTCCCTGCCCAACCTCCGTACTTGTATATTTGGCTACCTTTAGATCTCGCTTTCCATCTATAAATCGCTACATCCCTATATCTCACCCTCTTTAATCTTTATCAAAATCCCTTCCTATCTCACCATATCAGCCTTAGCAGGGCTCTCACTGACCAAAACACTCGTGCGTATTTCTGCCTCCCCGCATGTCGCCTTGCCAGATATTCAACGCGTCTCTTTTTCCATCGCTCGCACTCCCTGCCCCCGCTTAATATTCCCATCTCCAATTCCCAACTTCCCTGCACGCCTCCCTGCTCAATCTTTGCCTATTTCTCGCCTCCTGCGAGACGTCGTGCAACTACCCCCAATTTGTCATGACCACGCAACCTCCCTGCATCTCATCCCCTGCCCGTTCCATGGTTCATTCTCTTTCTGCCTGACTCCCAGGCCTCCCTGCTCAATCTCCCCCTTGCCGCCCTGCATCTCCCACCTCACCCCATCCCTGCAACTCCCCCTCCCCTCCCCGAAATTGTCTGCATTTCTGCTGCGTGCTTCTTCTCTCCCCACCACATCTCCCGCACACCCCACCCTCGCTCTTTTTCACTCTCCCTGCACTTTCCTTGCAAACTCACCACCACCTCCCCCTCTCCTCGGTCCACGCACCCCCTCCTCCTCCACCGCTGACCGCATTCACCCCCAGCAGAGGAGGCGAGGGAGGCGGTGGAGGTTGAGGTTGGTGCAGTGACGCGCCGCGCAGCTGCCGCATGCAGCACCAAGCGGAGCCACCCCCATCACGCACTGCTGCTGTATGCGGGTGTGAGTGTGTACGTGTGTGTGTGTGAGTATGCGTGTGTGTACGTATGTGTGAGTATGTGTGTACGTGTGTGTGAGTATGCGTGCGTGTGTACGTGTGTGTACGTGTGTGTGAGTATGCTTGAGTGTGTACGTGTGTGTGTACGTGTGTGTGAATATGCGTGTGTGTGTACGTGTGTACGTGAGTGTGCACGTGTGTGAGTATGCGTGTGTACGTGTGTGTACGTGTGTGTGAGTATGCTTGAGTGTGTACGTGTGTGTGAATATGCGTGTGTGTACGTGTGTACGTGAGTGTGCACGTGTGTGTGAGTATGCGTGTGTACGTGTGTGTACGTGTGTGTGAGTATGCTTGAGTGTGTACGTGTGTGTGCGTATGCGTGTGTACGTGTGTGTGTACGTGTGTGTGTGTGAGTATGCGTGTGTGTGCGTGTGTGTGTGAGTATGCGTATGAGTGTGTACGTGTGTGTGAGTATGCGTGAGTGGGGAGCGGTAGTGTAGCGGTTAGTGCACTGCGCTACGAATCCGGTGACCCGAGTTCGATTCCCGCTCACGGCCAACACCAGTGACGATGATCTGAACCTGTCTTGGGCCTCCCCTAGGTCGACTCAACCTCAAATGAGTACGTGGTGTGTAAACATCGCCACTAGGGAGACAAAGGCGGCCGGGCGTGGTGCTGGCCACCCACCCCCTCGTGTGCCGTGCTAGCCTTCGGTGCTCGCTAACAACACTTGCCCCCAACAGTCTGTTAAGACTATACGGGGGATCTTTGTCTTTGCGTGTGGGGTGGAGCGGAGACGCAGTGGTTAGCGCACTGCGCTACGAATTCAATTCCCGGCCACGGCCAACAATTAGTGGCGGGTGATATCAGAACGGGTCCTGGACATACCACAGCTTCATCGCATAAGACTTAGGTCGATTGATCCTTCAACGAGTTGCTGTTGTGTATATAAACATCAGCACTCTATATAAAAAGGCGGCCAGGCGTAGTATTATAGCCTTAATAGGTGCTCGCTTACGAAGAGCACTTGTCCCGATATAAAGGTTATACGCACTGGAATGTGTCCTTGTTATGAATGTCTTTGTAACTTGATCTTTGCAGAATTGCTTATGTGTGTGATTTAGGTTGTTTTAGTGCGTGTGACGTGTACACGATTAGTTGCGCCCTTGCACGAGCCACGCGGTTCTCGTGTTAATTCTCGGTCCCGAGTCAGCTCGTGGAAACGGCACGTTCCTATGACGAGGCCCAGGTCGCCCGTATATAATTAAACGCAGCAATGTTGATTTTCAGTGGCTTCACCACTTGTTGACCCTCGATTCGTAATTCATGATGATGATGATGAATACACGATGGTGCTTAACATGATAATTGTAGTGGTGGTGGTGGTGGTGGTAAAGACGATCGTGATGACTGTTCAGGCTGGTGGTGGTGGTGACGATGGTGAAAACAGTGGTAAAAAAATGATCAAGCTCCAGTTATTTTTTTTAAGCAGGTTGCGAGAACTCAAGAGATCAGGGTGAGTCCCATTTGCAAGAAGTGACCTGGGTCATTAATCTGCCAGTAGGGGGGCGATGATTGCTGCTGCTGCTGCTGTGTGTGAGTGCATGGGGAGCGGTGGTGTAGCGGTTAGCTCGCTGCGCTACGAACCCGGCGACCCGAGTTCGATTCCCGCTTACGGCCAACAACAGTGACGATTATCTGAGCAGGTCTTCGGCCTTCCCTAGGTCGACTCAGCCTAAAATGAGTACCTGGTGCGGTGTGTAAAAACATCACAACTGGGGAGACAAAGGCGGCCGAGCGTGGTGTCGGCCATCTGCCCCCTCGTGTGCCGTGCCAGCCTTCATAGGTGCTGCTCGCTAACAGCACTTGCCACAAGAGTCTGTTAAGGCTACACGGGGGGTCTTTGTCTTTGTGTATAATACCCAATGGAGTAATTTGCGGTGTCATTTTCGAATTTGGAAAATTTGGACCCTGGCACACAACGAATGACGTCAAGGGATCTTTAACGTCCAATGTGAAGCAGACGGCGTGTAGTATTGCTGATTATTACAAGCAGTATTGATAAGTGCGGCCGATGGCATCGAACTGTGAACAAGCATCACTGCCCTGATGATTGTTGTGATGATGATGATAATGATAACGATGATCGTGGTGATGATAATGACCATAATGACTGATTACAAACGGCTCGCCCGCCCATGAGCGGGCGAGCCGTCCGGTGTTCATATCCACAGGTGATTTCCTGCTCACATGAGAGTCGATGTGGTGCTCATCTCATGTTTATAGCCCTGAACTAGTGCCGATTCCACGTTACTATGACGGGGACCAGTATGCCCATAGGGCAACCAACCACTGTTAACTTCCCCACAAAGTGGTACCTATTTCGTAATTGTATCGACCCCACCCCCTCGGAAGAATGATGGGCTGAGTCAACCCTCCAACCAAGATTTGAAATCTCAACCTTTTGATTGCGAGCCGCTCGCTCTACCCCTGAGCAAGCCACCCGTGCGACCTGACAACAACAATAACAACACCAGTGCCGCTATTATGGAGGGCCCTCGTGGGACCTCAGAGCGAGATCCAAACATGAGCGTTAATAACCTATGGAGATCAAACAAGTGCACGTAGTGGTACATGTGCAGTGACACAGCGCCGACTGCTGTCCAGCAGCGGCAACTGCGGTGGACAGTTAGCGCACACACCGCCGAGCATATACACGGTGTGTGTGTGCCGGCAGGGCGGAGGAACTGGGGCAAGGGTCACGGAAGACCTCAACGGGAAGCCCCCTGGAACCCGCTAGTGGGTCCGAGAAGGGAGGCGCGGCCAGGGCGGAGCCAGGCCGCGCCGAGTAGAATAAAAGCAGCGGAGAGCCCGAGAGCTCCGGGCTGCCGGTTCTGGGAGTGGACTCGTCTCGTCTTCGCCGTTGCCGTCGCTGCCTTCGTCGCTGCCGCATTCACCCGATGATTGCGCGGCCGGACAGTTGTTGGCCGTCTCGGTCGACGCCGTCGGTGCAACGCGGTCAGTGTCGTGTCTAGGCCGGGCTGTACGGCAGCGTGGTCATGGGAGAGTAGGCCGGAGTAACGGAATAATGAGAGTGACGGTGCCTCCTGCAACTACCTTGTCTCCGACTGAGTGTGTGCACCACACACACTCGCACACTGAGGAGGACGCTACACGTGTGTAGTGTACTCATTCAAAGACACTAGTAGGAGGCGTTATCCCTTGTGTTTATTTCGGCTCTCACAGCCATAGGGGATAACTCCATACGGGGTCGGGACAGCCAACATGCTGCCAGACCCACAGCTTGAAGAGGCGAAGACCACGACGACAGCAGCACAACGAGTTCCATTCCCGATGGCAGCCCCGACTGTCAGTCGGAGCTCGCCTTTTATTCCCCCCTGCAGCGTGGCCAGGCTCCGCCCTCGGCCACGCCCCCTTCTGGATCCCCCAGAAGGCTCCGGGCTTGGCACACGGGTCCAACTGGTAGAACGGGCTGCTGCCCCTAATTCCATTGTCCACAAATCTCCCAGCGCCACGTGCTACAGTGACTCATTCAATGTCACTACATCTGTATACATATTTTGTATTTATAATGGATGCCACGTGATCTTCCCCAGCTGCGAGAGGCGGCTACATTCACCAATTATTTGAAAGAAAGAAAAAAACATTCTGTGATCGAATCACGAAGAAGGCAAATGTATTGACCCCCCCCCCCCCCGTATAATTTTGGATCATCGGCCATGATCGATCCACTGCTGTATGATGGCCTGAGAAGCTAAGCTCTACTTGGATAATAAATCCCATACCAGTACGCAGTGTGAGGTCAGACAAACTGTGCTCCCTTCACCAAATCCACACTGACTAGCGTGGTGAAGTATGGTCAAACAACCTACCGCCCGCATACATATAAATTATTAACTTCAGCCGGAATAGTCCGGAACGCTGTTTTTTTTTTCGACCAGGCCAGATCCATCTCGCCTCATCCTGTCCTCTGAATAAGTACACACGTGTTCGCAAAACTACAGCAATGTAGCGGCTGACAATAATAATAATAATTCATGTTCACTGTGGACAAGCGTAGAGTTTGGGCCTCTCGCGCTTGGAGTAGTGGCGCCTTACGACCGATAATATAATTCTCCCAAATTCCAAGCCAGCCTCGAGTCGAGCGGCGTTTCGTAAAATATCAAGAGACGAGGAGGGCTCTGCGGCCAACGTAAACATCGTTGCACACATTGCCACACTGCCGCGCGCGTCACGGCTAATCACGCGGGCGGCTCACGTTGCGCGCACTCCGCTCTTGACCGCCACCAATTACGGGACACATAATGAACACCTTCTAACGTTGAAATCCTTACCTGACCCCCCCTCCCCACCTCCTCCTACCACCCCCACCCCCCAAGTATACAGACACGGACAACCGTTAAAGTGTTGAGCAGAGCGAGAGAAAGAGAAGATTAAGAAAATACAAGCAACCCCCCAAAAACACGTGTTCGAGCAGAAAACCGCTACGAACAAACAGAAAATGCCCACCAGCCTAATGAATCACCGTCGGTCATCTTAGTGAGCAGCCGTAGCCCTCACTGCTCCCGGCCCTCACTGACCACCCCCCCCCCCCCCCAATTATATAAATCAGCCTTGGTCATCTCAGTAGCCACCACCAGTAAGCTCCCGCTGCCGCCAGCCCCAACTACCTCCCACAGACAACCCCCCTCTTTGCCTCCTCGACGAACAGTCACACATTATTGGAGTCCTAACTCAGCGGCCAAAAAAGCCGAGGTGGTGAAACCGACCCTTTGGCAGGGGTCCAACTCTGCAGGGTGTGCGGAGCTGTTTTACGCAATCGATTTCTGTTTATCTCCCCACCCCCTTCCATCAGCCGCAAAGCGCGCGCGCGTGTTCGTGATTTCTGTCCGTCCCTCGTCGTCATCAATTTTAGATTGGAGGTTGTCGCAGCCGTGATTTAAACAAAATAATAATCACATTTTAACTTACAAAATATGAACGAGGATTAGCTCACAATCGTCAATGAGCATATTTATATTCATTTTCATTGCTGTGATCATCAGCCTCAAGTGAGTACCTGGTGCGATGCGAGAAAATCGCCACTAGGGAGACAAAGGCGGCCGGGCGTGGTTGCTAGCCACTCACCCCGTCTCGTGTTCCGTTCCGGCCTTCATAGGTGCTCGCTAACAGCACTTGCCCCCAACAGTCTGATCAGGCTATAAGGGGGATCTTTGTATGTGTGTTACTGTGTTTCTGTGTACGTTTGTGTGTGTATGGTATATGTGTGTGGTACGTGTTTATTTTTTGAAAGATTGGCGACGGCATATTTTCGCGTTACACTCACCCAGTGATAGTGCCGAGTAATCAAACCACTGCTGGATAAAGGCCTCACCACACAGCGTCGGTCGTCGTGGGTGGTGTTTGACCATACGCTGGTCAATGCAGGTTGAAGGTCGTCACATGTTAGCCACTCATGTTAGCCGTGGCCGGCAATCGAACTCATTATCGCCGGGTTCAAAAGTGGAGTTCGCTAACCACTGCGCTACCACTCCACCCTGGCCCATCGCATTCCCGACTGAAAAACATTTCGGATTTCTGGATTGCTTTTTTTTTTACAAATCCCTTCAGCAAGTCAAAGAGCCACACATAGCGTCTAATTTGTGTGGCCTTTTATAAGTACGAGCTTATTGTTGTGTGTTTTCGTTGTGTGTGTGTCATTGTGTGTGCTCATGTGTGTGTGTGTGTGTCATTGTGTGTGCTCATGTGTGTGTGTCATTGTGTGTGCTCATGTGTGTGTGTCATTGTTGTGTGCTAAGTATGGGGGAGCGGTGGCGCAGCGGTTAACGCACTCCGCTAAGACTCCCAGTTACAGCCAATATCTAAACCGGTCCTGGGCTGCCCCTAGGTCGATTCAGCCTCACATAAGTATCTGGTACGATGCATAAACATCGCCACTCGGGAGACAAAGGCGGCCGGGCGTGGGGCTAGCGACCCACCCCATCGTGTGCTGTCGCGGCCTTCATAGGGTGCTCGCTAATAGCACTTGCCCGAAAAGTCTATATGGGCTATATGGGGATGGGGGGCAACTTTTACTTTGTTGCGTATGTGCGCATCCCCACGTCTCGCTCTCTCTCTCCCCCTCTCGGTGGCATTTGACATTTTCCATTTAAATAAACGTGGAACAGGCCAAGTCTTGTTTATTCATTTCCACCATGTGCGTGTCTGTGTGTGTATGGGAGGCACCACCCTGTATGCGTGTCCGTTGTGTGTCTCTGTGTGTGAGAGGCTCCTAGATACTTGAAATATCTGGACACAGTACCCCATCATTGGTGAGCCTCCTCCAGCACACGAGGCTTGCGTTGGCCTGGGTCACGTAGCCTGCATGCCCAGCCACCGCGTGTCCAAGCAGCTTCTGTTTGGCCGTATAGGGGAGGAGGTTGAACGACACGGGTTAGAGAAGAGATGGAGCTGATGCGGTACAGATGGATGTGAAGCTGAGTTGACTCGCCGTTGCGGTGTCAAGATCTGCCTCTGTGGAGGAGGAGGCTCGTGAAGGACGCTGCTGCTGCTGCTACCGGGCAGTTGGAGGCAGTCGCCCTCCAGTAACAACGGAGGGCAGAGGAGCGACGCTCACAACAACGCCGGGCGGATAAAACGCAGGAAGTTGGCACAGTAGCCGCCACAGGCCAGTTATCTCAGTCAGTAAAACCCATGCAACTTGGATCTGCCCCGTGCCCTCCTGCCAGCGGGCATTCGACACTTCACGTGGCCTTAACGTGCACATAGCCTGGCACGAGCGCCGTGACGTCACAGCCACTTAGCGGCGAATGGCGGTTGTTGTTGTGGGTCTCTCCTCGGTCAACTCAGCCTCAAATGAGTAGTACCTGGTGCGGTGTGTAAAAACACTGGGGAGACAAAGGCGTGTGCCACAGTCCCGGCCTTCATAGGTGCTCGCTAACAGCACTTGCCCCAACAGTCTATTAAGGCTACACGGGGGATCTTTGTGTGTGCGTGGGTGTGTCTGTGTCGTGGTGGGGAGCGGTGGTGTAGCGGTTAGCGCTACGCTGCGCTGTGAACACGGCGACCCGAGTTCGATTATCTGAACCGGTCCTGGGCCTCCCCTAGGTCGACTCAGCCTCAAATGAGTACCCGGTGCGGTGTGTAAACATCGCCACAAGGAGAGACGAAGGCGACCGGGCTTGGCGCTGGCCAGCCATCAGCTCGTGTGCCACAGTGCCGACCTTCATCGGCGCTGCTCGCTCACAGCACTTGCCCCATCAGTCTGTTCAGCCTTTGTGTGTGTGTCTGTGTGTAGTTGTGACGCACCAGCCCGTGTGTGTGAATCTCTGCGTATCTGAGAGCGAGAGCGGGGGGAGGAAGAGGGAGGGAGAGAGATTTGAGCTCGAGAAGAAAGCTGCACTCTGTTCGCGGTGAGAGCGCGAGATACGCGTGCACTCTCTCTTACATCTCTCTAAACTTTAAACACGTGTACACACTACACACACATACAAAGACACATAGCCCCCGTGTAACTTTAACAGGCTGTTGGGGCAAGTGCTGTCGAAGGCCGGCACGGCACACGAGAGGGTGGGTGGCCAGCAACCACGCCCGCACACACATTTACTTACACACATTCACACACATTTACTTACACACACACATTTACTTACACACACATACATTTACACAACCCACACATTAATTTACGTGTTGTGGGGAGCGGTAATGTAGCGCTACGAACCTGGCGTGTCCCCGAGTTCGATTCCCGCTCACGGCCACCGACATCAGTGACGATATCTGAACCGGTGCTGGGCCTCCCCTAGGTTTACTCGGCCTCCAAATGTGTAAACATCGCCAATGGGGAGACAAAGGCGTCCGGGCGTGGGGCTGACCACCCACCACCTCGTGTGCCGTGCCGGCCTTCATAGGTGGTCGCTAACAGCACTTGCCCCTATAGTCTGTAAAGGCTAGACGGGGGATCTTTGTCTTTGTATCACTCTTAATGCTCATGCCAACGAGCCTTGCAGAATTGTGCACCTAGCCTGGCACACGCGCTTTGGCAAGCTGTCGTTCCCGAACGTCTGGATGTGCGCGTGTTCATACGTTTGTATAAAAGTTCTTAATTATTTATCTGTACCATACTGTATGTGTTTTTTAAACCACATATTTGTGGTTTAAAAAACACATACAGTATTCGTTTGTATAAAAGTTCTTAATTATGTATCTGTACCATACTGTACGTGTTTTTTAAACCACATATTTGTGGTTACGTGCCTGTCCAAATATGTGCATGTGCTGGTCGTTCGCTTCGTGGTCAACTCATCGGCACTGGGAAGACAAAGGCGGCCGGGCGTGATCCTGGCCCACACGCCAGCACCCTGTCGTGTGCAGTCTTGGCATTCAAAGGTGCTCGCTAATGGAACGTCATTCCCAGCACGCCTCTGTCTCTGTGCACACTGTGCTTTGGGGAGACAAAGGCGGCCGGGCGTGGTGTTGGCCACCCACCCCCTCGTGTACCGTTCCGGCCTTCATAGGCGCTCGCTAACAGCACTTGCCCCTACAGTCTGTTAAGGCTACACGGGGGACCTTTGTCTTTGTGTGTGGGGAGCGGTCGTGTAGCGGTTAGTTCGATTCCCGTTCTCGGCCAACACCGGTGACGATTTTCTGAACTGGACCTGGGGCTCCCCCTAGGTCGACTCAGCCTCAAATGAGTACCTGGTGCGGTGTGTAAACATCGCCACTGGGGAGACAAAGGCGGTCGGGCGTGGTGCTGGCCACCCACCCCCTCGTGCGCCGTGCCGGCCTTTATAGGTGCTCGCTAACGGCACTTGCCCCAACGGTCTCTGAAGGCTACACGGGGGGATGTTTTGTCTTTGTGCACATACCTGTGCATATGCAAACAACGCCTCAAGGTGCACCACTCCTGGCACGAGCGTCGTGGTGACGTCACTGACGCCCAGTGGCCATCGACGGCTATTGAATGCACGCAACGCATTCGTGAGAGTGTGACCGTGTGTTGTGTGTCCACTTGCCCCAATAGTCCGTTCAGGCTACGGGGTTTTCCGTAAATGAGCACGCACCGCGCGTGCATTTTTGCATCAACGCAGAGCTGTGCGTGCTGGAACGGTTTTAGCATTTGCCCATTCGATCTTTTGGCGCCGCAGTTAGAACGAGGGTAAAGTTTGTTTCTTCCCTCTTCCCGCCTCTTGTCCTTACCAGGCAGTATATAAATGGGCACACCACAGTGAGTCGATCTGCAGGTGTCTCGTGCGTGTTTGGTGGAGTAAAGTGTGTCTTTCCAGATAAGATGTCTGGCCCAGCGAGGAAGAGTAGGCCAAAATATCCTCTACAAGGTAGCTCTTGCCCATAACGTGTTGGGTCGGTCTCTGAATGTTACCATTATTTCTGATCCCAGTGACCTTCCGGAATCATTCGTGGTTACGCGTAGGAGAGTTTGTGCTTGTGTATCGCTGCCAACGCAACAGCTGCATCACCCAATAAGTGGTTAAACTACTCAATGCATTACTTTAAGTGGTGACATCCATTTAACAACTTTGCTTCTATTCTAGGCATTGGAGTTGATCCGAAAATCAGCGACCTCCTCCCTAGCTTGTTGAAACACCTGGTGTGAGGATCATCCATCGGTGGAAACCTCACCCGGTCACTCGACGCGGCCCACCAATCCTCTCTCGATTGCAGCCGTGCAGCCCAGCGATGTTCACAGCGGCCGGTGCTGTTGCCACACTCGCGCTCACGCTGGTGCTGGCGTCTCGTCCGGCACCATCATCGTCTTCGTCTCCATCCAACTCCTCCTCCTCCTCCTCGTCTCCCTCCACCCCAGCTCGGCCCAACATCGTGCTCGTCGTCTGCGACTCTATGGACGGGCGGCTCGTGACGGCGCCGCGGCCGCCCGTGCCTCTGCCGTGGATTGAGCGCCTGGCGGCGGCCGGGGCGGCCTTCACCACGGCGTACACCAACTCGCCCGTGTGCTGCCCGTCCCGCGCCGCCCTCTGGAGCGGACTTCACACCCACGTCACCGCCGCGTGGAACAACCACAAGTGTCTGCCGCCAGGTGCATGGGGGGGGGGAGGGTCGCGTCGTTGGCCGTCAATGCGAACCGGCCACGTGGCTCAGCGGTGGAGCGAGCGGTCGAGCGAGCGAGTGGTGGAGCCACCGGTGGAGAGAGTGAACAGTGGAGCGAGTGAGTGGTGGAGTGAGTGAGTGGTGGAGCGAGCGGTGGAGTGAGTAAGTGTTGGTGCGAGTGGTGGAGGGAGTGAGTGGTGGAGCGATCATTGGAGAGAGTGAGTGGTGGTGCGAATGGTGGAGCGAGTGAGTGGTGGAGCGAGCGTTAGAGAGAGTGATTGGTAAAACGAATGCGTGGCGAAACGAGCGATGGAGAGAGTGAGAGGTGGAGAGAGCGGTGGAGCGAGTGGTGGAGCAAGCGGCGGAGCGATCCTCGGAGTGAGCGGCTCTTGCAAGCGGAAGGTCGCGAGTTAAAATCTTTGGCCCTGCTCCTCGGTGTAGCGAAGAGGAGGTGGATGAGTCGTACAGCTGCTGCTGCAGAGTTCCACCACGACCTGCAGTGCAGGGTGACAGGAGCAACGCGTCGTGCACACCGTATCGCGAAACCTAAAGTCAACATCGTATCTCGCAACTTGCTGTCGTGTCACGGTGAACGATGTCGCAGCGGTGACCCCTAACCCGCGTCGCCCGCCTCGCCAGGTTACCCGACGTGGCTCGACCGCCTGCGTGCCGAGGCCGGCTACACCACGGCCGTGTTCGGCAAGACGGACTTCACGTCGGGCGGACACTCGCTGAGCAACCGCGTGGAGGCGTGGACGCGCGGCGTGCCGGGGCTGCTCCTGCGCCAGGAGCCGAGGCCCCGCGCTGAGCTCGTGGGGAGCGAGCACACGAGGAGGGTGCAGCTCCGCGATTGGAACAACACGGACCGCGCAGTCCGCTGGATCCGCGACGTGGCGCCCGGGAGAGGTGGGCGCCAGACCCCGCGTGGAGGGTGGCGGGGAACCACCTCGGGCATCAAGCTGGAGACGGCGCTCGCCGGGAGTTAACGATGATGACGGTGACAGCCGTCGACTCTCTCGGTCGTCGCGGGGGAAGATGATGGGGAGGGGTGGGTAACGGATTAAATAAAGACGTGGCTATAATGCCTAGCATATGTGAGTTAGGGTTGAGCAAAATGTATTTTTTTTATCTGCGTGGAATTGGGGTGGAAATCTTAAGAACGCGGTCATTTATTCGACACAACGATGCAGAGAACACTTTGCACACATTTATTGAACGCACATTCTGCGCTGATCGCACTTTGTACGCTGTTGCATAATTGTGCACTGATTATACATCGTATGCTATATTTGAATAATGTACACTGATAATAAATTTTACACTCATGGTACGGTACATAGTACGCGAATTGTACACTTCACACCATTTATTTATTGTCCTCCAATTTAGATCGTACCATATTTGTATATTGTATGCTGGTTATATATAGTCCACCAACATTTCTAAACTCGTAACATTTTGGCAACCGGTGACATTTCCTCCTCCCTCCCCCTCCCTCCTTCACCTCCTCCTCCATCCCCTCCAACACCCCCCGCCTCCTCCTCCTCCTCCTCCTCCTCCACCTCCGCAGCTCCCTTCGCGCTCTACCTGGGCCTCAACCTGCCGCACCCGTACAAGACCCCGTCCGCGGGCCCCGACGCCGGCTCCTCCACCTTCCGCACGTCGCCCCACTGGCTGCACCGCGTGCGCCGCGGCGCCGTCGTGGTGCCGCGCTGGCTGCCGCGCGACGAGGCCCACCCCTGCGACGCGTACGCCACCTTCGTCAAGAACTGCTCGGGCCCCTTCGCCGACGACGAGGTCATCGCGGTGCGCGCCGCCTACTACGCCATGTGCGCCGAGACGGACGCCATGCTGGGTGCGGTGGTGCGCGCGCTGGGCGCCGCGGGCTTCCACCTGCGCGGCGACACCTACGTGGCGTTCACGTGCGACCACGGCGAGCTGGCGCTGGAGCACCGGCAGTACTACAAGATGAGCATGTACGAGGGCAGCGCGCGCGTGCCGCTCGTCATCGCCGGGCCCAGGGTGCGGCCGCGGAGGCAGCGCCGTGGTGGTGATCGTGGTGGCCGTGGTGGTGATCGTGGTGACGGTAGTGTTGGTGGTGGTGGTGGTGGAAATGACGGTGATGGCGGCAGTGGTTTTAGCGGCGGTGCTGGTGGCAGTAGTGGTGATCGTGGCGGCGGCGATGGCAGTCGAGGTGGTGGTCGTGGTGGCCGTGATGATGGCGAAAGTATTGATGGTGGTCGAGGTGGCGCTCGCGGTTGTGCTGGTGGTCAAGGTGCTGCTGGTGGTGGTCATGGTGGTGCTGGTGTTGGTGGTGCTGGTGTTGGTGGTGCTGGTGCTGGTGTTGGTGGTGCTGGCAGTCGTGGCGGTGGTGAGTGGACGACGAGGTCAGTCCTTGAGCAGACGTTGGTGTCCCTCGTGGACATCTACCCGACCATGATGGACATAGCGGGGCTGCCCGTGGACCCGCGTCTCAACGGGACGTCTCTGCTCAAGCTGCTGGAGCGACGGGGACGCACGGCGCGCGCACGGAAGGGCGGCGGTGACGGCGTTCATGATAATGATGTCGGTGGCGTTTTTCATGACGGCGTCGGTGATAGAAATTTTCACGCACCTCAATATCATCAACAGCATCGAAATAATTACCACCGTCGTCACCGCCATCACGCTGCCCAAAATATAATCACCGTCGGTAGTGAGCATGCTGCTGATGGCAACCATCAGCGACACCAAGCTCAACATCACCATCGTCGTCCTCGTCGTTGCCAGCACCATATTCATAACACAACCAACTACAACCTTCAAAACGACGTTGATGAAAACGACCACGACGACGAGGCGACCTCCTCCGCTCACCGTGACCTCGTCAAACTCTCCCGCGGCCACCGCTGGGCGCTGAGCCAGTTCCACGGCAGTGACCTCAACGAGTCGGCGTACATGCTGCGCGTGTCGCGCTGGAAACTCGTGGCCTACGGCGAGGGGCCCTCCTCCGCGACGCGGCCGCAGCTCTTCGACCTCGTCTCCGACCCCGAGGAGCTGCGCGACCTGTCGGCGTCGCGACCCCACCTGACCTCTCGCCTCGAAGCGGCGCTCCGCTCGCTGATGGACTACCCGGCGGTGACGCGCGCCGTGCGCCGCTACGACCGCGCAGCCTTCCTCGAGTGGCGCGCCGCCGCCGGCCCGCGCTACCGGGAGGCCATCGCGGGCCTGCGCTGGTACCGTGACTGGGCCGAGGACCCGCGGGGAAACCTCGAGGCCATCGACGCCTGGCTCGAGCGAGGGGAGTGATCACTGGCAGAGCCAGTGGGGCGGGGGGGGGGGGGGCGGTGGGGTGGCACATGCCCCCCTAATGATCCGATCGAAATCCCCTAATTTCGATCGGATCATTGGGGTTTCTTAGTAATAATTCGGCATTTTGCGACCCCCACTGCCACTGTGTAGAATATTATTAAATGCCAGGGACTCTATGAGATGATAGAACAATAGTCTGAGTCCATAATTGGAAATAAGTAACGGCAAAGCAGTTATAAGTGACTCTCAGAATTGTGCGCAGTTGCGTATACAGTACACGATTTCCCTGAAGGCATCAACACCTTCAGCGAGCGCAATGCTGATCACACACGGTTCGAATTCGACCCTCGATCGATGGCTGTGGCATCGCCACACACGCGTCGAATAAAAAGCAAGGGACAAGTCCTTGCTTACTAACAACTCCTATCATTTTTCATTGCTGGAGGCGTTTCCCCCCCTACCTGAAAATCCTGGCTCCGCCATTGGGAGTGATGTCCGTCGGTCTGGTTCGGCGACCCGGGAAACATCTTTTTCGCGCAACCCGGCACACCGCATCCAGTATGCCTCCTCTCGCTACGGTTTGTGGGCTACTTATAGTCACGTGCCACTTACCAGCTAACTGGAAAATATTCAGCGAGGGGTTTAAGCCCTGGGATTATTTCGCATGACCGTGGCTGCGGTACCAGTGCGGTGCTCTGGGCAACGCGGCTGGGACGCAGACTTTTCGTTTGGCCGGCGACGCGTTTCAACTACAGCGAGGAGATCACGGTCACCATCGGCTCCAAACCCTCCAACATCACCGTGAGCTGAAGTGGACTGTGGTGAGGTGGACAAGCGTAGATACGGCCCGAAATACTGTATGTACCGTGTGTTGAACTTCTAACGCACCGTACGTACCCAACCGTGCTAATCGGAGGTGTAGGGGAAGGACAACAAACTCAACACAAAAAGCAGTTCTACAGAAATTCGTTTTCAATTTAAAATTAAAATTGCATAGCTCCAGTGGCTTCATAATATGGGAAGGAAGAGCGTTTCAGACGGCCGCAGATGCGCAAACTATTATCTGACACGGCGTGATCTATTATCCTCCTGCTGCCTACAGATGAACGTGCCGACTAGTAGTTTGTGATCTACGTGTTGACTTGTAGGTAGGCCTGTAAAGTGTGGTGTGTAGGATTGTACAGGGTGGTGCAGATGTATTGTGACTCCCCCCCTCTCCCCCAATTTACCCCGAACATTTGGTTTCCACCTCGCATATTCATTTCTGTTTTGAATAAAACTTACTTTTAAAATAGAAGTTTTATAGATTTAAATGTGTGTGTGTGGGGGGGGGGGGGGGTCACAAGACATCTGGACCACTCTGTCGATCAGTGGTTCTTAACCTGGCGGGTGCACGCACCCCCTGGGGGTACGAGATCTCCTTTCCGGGGGTGCGAGACATGGGCAGATTTTATTTCCAAGGTAAATCATCGAAACACAAAGTAAGCACGGGCACGTGAGTACAACTACTTTGTTTGATCAAACCCGGTGTATTTATTAACATTGTAAATTTTTGTTACAATTGAGAACCAAGGGGGTGCAAGGCTTGCAGTTAAGGGTTTAAGAACCACTGGTGTAGACTGAGTCGAGGATTGTTGTAAGGCGGCATTGGCGGCGGTGACGAAGCTCTTACCAGAGCGGTTCGCCGTTTGATCCCCGGTGTGTCAACAACAGAGATGAGCACGGTCGGCTACGTACTGTGCGAAAGAAGTTCAACGTACTCTTAATATATACATCCGTAAGTACTACCTGCCTTCCGCCGCACAAGACCCCGTAGCGTTATTTAAAAAATATATGGGTTAGGCCGAATTAGCAAAAATGTTGTACTGTATTTACCAAAAACTTAGCAGGACGCTCCTGAAAAGAGGGCTTGAGACTCGGCGACGTCTGTGCGGGTCAATGGATGTACAGTACTGTAACAACAATGTCAATCCGTACGCAGGTGGAGAGAATGTGATGAGGATGCAGTGGATTGTGGATTGGGCTGTACGCACGATTGTCCATCCTGTTTCCCTTTAACCCCCCACCTAGCCCCACCCCACAACTGCTCGATGCCACCTTAATGAGGCAATAGAACTGACAGAAGTTCGTTATCGTGGTGGTGGTTTGGAGTTCCAGGCTGATTAGCTGCAGTTTCCTAATTTTCTCGAGCGATAGACCGCTGCTTTCGTCGTCGTTGTCTCTTGTTGAGATCCTCGTCAGTGTCCTCGTGACCAGGCTCATCGTCACCAGGATCATCGTGACCAGGATCATCGTTACCAGGATCATCGTCACCAGGCTCATCGTCACCAGGCTCATCGTCACCAGGATCATCGTCACCAGGCTCATCGTCACCAGGGTCATCGTCACCAGAAACATCGTCACCAGGGTCATCGTCACCAGGATCATCGTCACCAGGGTCGTCGTCACCAGGATCATCGTCACCAGGATCATCGTCACCAGGATCATCCTGACCAGGATCATTGTCACCAGGGGTCATCGTCACCAGGGTCATCGTCACCAGGATCATTGTCAGCAGGATCATCGTCACCAGGATCATCCTGACCAGGATCATTGTCACCAGGGGTCATCGTCACCAGGGTCATCGTCACCAGGATCATCGTCACCAGGGTCATCGTCACCAGGATCATTGTCACCAGGATCATCGTCACCAGGATCATCGTCACACGGATCATTGTCACTAGGATCATCATCACTAGGATCATTGTCACTAGGATCATCATCACCAGAATCATCGTCACCAGGGTCATCATCACTGCCGCCGTCTGCGCGGGCCAGCACTGTCCATCAGCTACGTCAGTCTATTAAGTTGCTTCGTCAATGAGTGATTTACTTAGACAATCCTTATTTAATCAGGTGAAAGCCAATAGTTTATCCATTATCACGTCGTATCAACAATGTGTATTGGGCTGTGTACTTTGTATGTCTGGGTGTACTTGCACACGCAATGCCCCCCTCCCTCACCTCGCCGTTTGCAAATCCACTGCTGGATGAAGGCCCACACGGCTGTTGGGGTTGTTTGAACATCGCTTCGCTTCGTGTCAGCGCGGCGTGGTGAAGGTGTGTGCCCGGGATCGGTTCAGAGATCACTCACCACCGATGTTGTTCGCCTTGGCCTGGGGAATCAAACTCAGGTCGTCAGCACGTAATAGGCATAAATAAAAGTTACTATCATTTTTTTACTAGGTAAAGCCCACTGAGCTATCCAGATATTTTTCAGAAGCGACCTGGCCACAAAATACCTCAACGAAGTGGCTTATCACGTGGAAATTTATAGCAGCTAAATACTCGATATGCATGTTGATTCTAAATGTGGAGGGGAAACCCGGAGGACCCAGAGAAAGATCCACGCGACCACGGGGCAGAACACGCAAACTCCAAATATACAGGTGTCAGGGTCTGGGTCGCTACTCCACCCTCCTGGCGAGGGAGTTAACATTTGGCCAACTAACAGACTCCAGGGGTCCTCCAATGAAAAAGGACAAGGGTCGTCTCAATGAGCCCTCACCTGGCTATTTGAGATGTTAACACCCAAGGGTGCGCGATCGCTCTGTGTATCCTGTCAATGGCTAATGTCGAACTAAACACAACCCGGCTCCCAGTTCTTCATTTCAGCCAGACCAAGTCCCCGAACGCCGTTCCGAGAATTGCTTTTTTCACGGTAACGTTGTTGGACCCGAGGCTACTCTTTGCGAAAGACTATCTACATCCTGGTCTCTTTGAGGTATCACCCAGTTAAAAACAAATAAAGTCAACTTAAAACATCGCCATCCAGCCCTGCCCTTATGTCGTCCTCGTGGTGTTGCACCGGTGTTCATACGGTTACAGGAATAGAGTGTACAATTACATAGGATAATGACAGGCACTTTGTACTCGAGTCGTCTCGTGGGTAGTAGTGTCTTATGCCGATAGTTCCTGCCCCAAGCCAGCCGAGCAGCGTTCTGTAAAATATATCGAGTGTGGAGAAATGAAGGCCTGCATTTAGATGACGATGATGATGATGTAAAACTTCGAAATGTGAATGTCCTGAGCAGCATGGATCTTGGCCACTGCTGCTTCTCAACAGGCCGGAAGCTGCTAAGCAGGTGAGACCCGCGGACCTGGCCGGGTGAGAGTTCGTGCCCTGGTGTCTGTTGCGATTGTGCATGGAAAGGAATTGTGGGGGGGGGGGGGGGGGGCTAAACAAGTGAAAGTGCACCCAGCTTGGCACAAGCGCCGTGGCGACGTTACCGTGACAGTGGCGTGTATTGTAGAAGCGCGTTTGTCGAGGTCTGTCCTTTCCCTAGGTCCACTCAACCTTAGTGATAGTGCATACACACTGTACATCTCACCCAAACAGTCAACAATGGACACCACACATTTGAATGTCTTTAAATATTTCGAAAAATTTTTATTAAATAAAAACGTACATCTGTGCACCAGTGGTAAAAAAAAAATCAACACGGCTTTAATAAAAAAAAACACCCGGGTACTATTGCAAATGAACAATGAAAATTCGCCGACCAACATTCATCTCTAGTCATTTTTACATTCACAATCTTCATGGCTTTAACTTTAAACATTACACGGATACGGTAACACGCAGTAGTAGTAGTAATAATATCTTTTTTTGTCGAGAGCAAACTTTTTTTAAAAAGCAGGTCGGGAGAATTTTTAACCCAGTTTCTGAGAATTAGTTTTAAACCCACTTTATCAAATAATTCTACCCTCCCAATTATCCTGGGTGATTGGGGGAATCGGTAATTGGGAGGTAGGGTATAGGGCTCGAATAAAAATAAAATAAAAGTGTCAAGCTAAACGTATTCCTCCACAGTTGAAGACACGCAGTGTGCCACGTTGGCACAGTCACCGACGAGATAGGAGGAGGAGGATCTGATATTAAACTCGCGCTCGTACCAGAAGACAACAGCAAGGAGAACTCCCCACGGTTAATCCCGCACCGGGCAAACCCGAGAGAGCCAACTGTAATTTTGCAGATCCCTCCTGTAAACCTTTAAAATTTAAGGAAACCAACCCGTGTAGTGTGCACGCAAATACACCCCCAATAACTTACAATTATAACCCAGGAATATATAAAACAATACCGTTCCTCCTGTAATCCGGAGAGTATGATAATTGCAACAATCAGACACAGGAGGTGTTAAGGTCGGCAAGGTTGCTCTCTGCAAGGTTGCGAGGCCTTGGCCTGTAAACATGAGGAATTATGAACGTGTCTTTTTTTAATGTTCAAATAGGTAATTAAAAGGTTGTTGTCCGAGTGAAGTGTCATAAAAGATCACGTTTTCAGAAATCATCTGAAAAAAATAAACTTCACAAATTAGTTTCGAACAAGAGATCCATGCCGTGGCTACGTTGTCAGCAGAGAGCCGTGCATAAAAAAAACGTGATTATTGTACTGTACTTTGCTTCCAACGTCTATCTCCCCCCACCTTCACGAACTCACACTGGCCCCCAGGACTCGTAGGCCATTGGCGGAAGGCTTCTCATCCAGCAGTGGATTGACAAAATGTCTGCACGTTTATGCCACTTTTTTTTGTTATCAGTTACATCCTTAAATTCCATTATCCATAAGTAAGGTCTCATCAAGATATCAAATCGGACCCAACCATTAAAACGATCCCGAGAACAGCACTGGAAATTCCATAATGCTATGACGGGGGGCCCAATCACTCCGTAGGGTAACACCACTGACAGGTTTGGGTACGACAGTTATTGGGTGTTTTGCGAGGGTAAAATATGTTTAGAGGGCATTTGGCGCCATTGCAATTTTGGTCCTGGGTCACATACTAAACCATTTTTTTATTTTACCAGGTAAGGCCCACTGAGCTATCTAGTTCTTTTTCAGAAGCGACCTGGCCACAAATTATAGCTCAGTGAAGTGGCTTATCATGTAGGACATTTATAGCAGTCAAATACTCTCAACACATGCACAGTACCTAATAATTAAACGGCGATAATAAGAACGATATTAACTATTGTTGGCCACGAACCCATAAACGTCTGCGACACACGCAAAAATATATATTGCTGGCCACAGTACCAAAATCACATAATTTTTTTTATAAAAAAATAAACATTAAAAACTGGTCAATCACTAATTTCCAACTAAACGCGCGATAAAAACTATCCCCGCTTAATCACGACGATTCCGTTTTTGTTGTTAAAAAAGTCTTTAAAATGTGTCCCCAATTCCACACAGCACAGGGTGATCCATTTATAGATAACTTAAAATGACAGCCTGATTGTGGAGAACATTCAGTAAGATTGTTCTCCACAGCGAAGCTCAACATTATTTCGAGTTATGGATTGCTTTAGAATTTTGCGTCAGACAGTGAGCCCCCTTGCCTGTAAGATCTGACTCACCAGCATCACAACAAGCAAGCCCGACTCTGCTGCTGATGAGACAACTGTATGTCAAAACTGGTCCAGAGTTTGCCTATTTTTGAATCAATGCTGTCGAAATTATGCTCCCCCGGAAGGCTCTGTGCACGCGTTCGTGAAAGAGACATTGTCCGCTTATTTTCAAATATGTAGACGCTTTTAAATAAAATTTAGTTTTATCTGGAATTTTCCCAAATTTAAGTGGGGTGTCTATAAATGGATCAACCTTTACATGCATACACAATACTAGATTATGCTCAGACATACACAATGCATTTGCTGGCTTTTAGAATACACATTTAACATAGCTTCGAAAGTAATACGTAAAAGGTAGTGGGCTAACAGATCCCATGAAAAGGGTAAACACTTTTGCTAAATGTGATGGATGGCATTTTACTTAACAACTGTGAAACATATTCTTAGTTCTTTCGGTAAAGTCACGTAGAAGGGAAACAATAAAATAATAAAAATATAAAACCGAAAGAACCAAGAATATGAATCCCTGCAGTCACGAAAGCTTTAAATCAACATTTAACTGTGAAACCATTGGGTTGACAGTACTTACCAACAAAATAATAATAATAATAATCCACTCAGGAGCCACAAGAAGGGGCCATGGGACAGATTGGAAATTGAGCTGCATACAGAACTGTCCACACCCCCAGTTATCCCCTCCCCCACTCCTGGCTCCCCTTGATGGGTTCCATGCTAAATTAAGTCCGTGGCGACAGTGAAATTTCAGACTCCGGTTGACCCAAGATCTCCTCGCTGTGGCCTCTTCCCAACTGCCTTGTGTGAAACCATCGTTATTAGTAACCAGAGGTGCAGCTTTCGAGTGTGCAGAAGGTGTAACTCTACCAGGAGCACCAAGCTCCGGCCTACGAAGTCAGGAGGTGGGGGGTGAGGGTGAGATATTGCAGGAGGCCCCACATTTCATTCTTAATGGCCCATGGCAACCTGGCTACACCAGGGCCTGTTAGATAAACCATTATAATGGTAGATGACCTCATAGCTGCGCTCACCACGGCCTTGGATTAGCAGCCAGAGGAATGTGGTGGCTTGGTCGCCATTTTTATTCAGTTCATTTTTCTACCAAAACACAAAACATGCATGGCAGGAGCACTTGTCTTGCCGTGAGACCCGTAGATGAACTCCTACACATTGACAGGGGACCACATCTCTTAGCTGCAGTTAAACAGCTGCCAATAACCGAGTTATGACTGGGTTTTAAATTTGGGACGATCATATTTCTGAATTTTTGTTTTAATCAATGAAACATCATTAAATTACTCTTTGGTTCTTTCGGTAAAGTCAGGTACTGTGTAAATGTGTAAGCTCGCAGAGTGCCGTCACATCGAGGACTGCATGTAAATATGTTGAAGATGTGATTCCTGACATGCAATACCCTGGTGTCTACAAACTAAGTTGTGTCTGCGGTAGCAGTTACATTGGGGAAACGAAGGCAGATTTGAAACACGGCAGAACCAATACCTCTGCCGTGGCTGATCACTGCTTGAATGCGGTAGGCTCACACAACATTCTATTTTTCGAGACGGAGGTACTCTGCAAACCTTCGGGCTACCATCAAAGATTCGTTCATGAAGCCATCCAGATATATAAACAGACACAATTTCAACCGAGAAGATGGGTACAAACGGAGCAATCATTGGAAGGACGTTATTAACCAGTTTCGGTCATAACTGGCAGTGATGTTCCCTTCTTATCTGCCTATGTTAGCAGTTATTTGTGACTCTGAGGTACATTCACTAACACAGCCACCGTCGTTTGCTTGCTCCGATGTGGCTGTGGTTCTTTCCGAGCTTTTTCCGATCTTACATCTACATGCAGTCCTCGATGTGATGGCGCGCTGCGAGCTTACATTGACATGCTAATCACATTTACACAGTACATTTACATGCAAATTTCTCACTTTAACATCACTACCCCCCCCTCACCCCACTTCTAACCTTTATAAGCAGCCTGCATCAGCAGCTTCCCTCTTTCTTCCGCCTGATGACGATTGCTTGCGTTGCGATCGAAACGTCGTGATCTATTATTTTTTCTACCTACGTGACTTTACCCAAGGAACTAAAGAGTGTGGATTTCTGCAGTCACGAAAGCTTCAAATCAAGATAATTAAATTAATCGCTGTCGTTCTGAAGTTTTTACCACCAACCACAAAAATCACTCGCCCCACTTCCCTTCCCCTTTGCCCTCCAGATCCACCCACAACCACGACTACATTCTTGGTCAGGACTATAAAAATCTACTGGACATCTTTGAAAAAAGAGCTTTATCGCTCATCCGATTCCTCCGGTATAAATACATATTTTGATAAACATTCGGGCTGTTAAAGTCACTCTTCATCGGGCGGGGGGGGGCGGTAAGTACGCCCCCCCACCCATTCAGCCGGCGTGAAAACGCACACGGGCAACGGTTCCAGGAAACTTTCAGTCGGGTGGCATTGGCACCCCTTGCAGTTCATTTGTGGAACCCGTGCGAGGACGATGAACACGGGTTACCATGTGTGCACGTCCGTGCGCGACCAGGGTTCAGGTCGGCGACCCAGAAAACATTTCGGTACCCTGGCACACCACATCCAGAATATATACCTACACACACGTCTGGCTACGGCTACTATTTCTAACCACGTGCCACCCCCGCTGGATTAATCTAGTCCTCCAGAGGACCCCAGAAAAAAATTCAGCAAGAGAGGAATCCCTGGCACGTGACCCTCGGTTTAAATGAACGTTGCCAACTGTGTGAACTTGACGTGGAGCGATTCGCACTCCCACAGCAGGTCCGCAAGAATCTTTAAGATTCGGGGGCCACAATTCAACTCAATATTCGAGATTTTAGTGTAATATTCTTCGCATCGTTGTTATCGCGCTTGACTCCTCTACCTTTTTCCCCAAAGGTAACATCAGCATGCACGATGGAACACGTGCATCGTGTATCGTGCACGCAAACAATAAAATCTGCTGAGACTGGCGTTTCTTTGACGGTCGGAAATTAGCGTGCATTGCAGACGCACGCGGCAACGGGGAATATTTTCAGCGAGAGGGGGTCACAAAACAGCAATGCTGCCAACACTACGGTCCAACAGCCCGGCGCGTGTCGGCTAAACCGTTGACGAGCAGGCCCCGTGTGCATTTGTCGTCCATTTTGGGGTTTGTATATTAAAACACATTGTTGACATCACATGGCAATGGAGTAAATTGTGCTGTTGCATGTTGGGTCAGGCTTGAGTTCCGTTGCTTGAGGTTCCATCATCTCGCGCCACCGTTTAAAAGTGACTACCCACGTTTGTCTTTGTAGGTTTAAAATAACGACGATTACAGTAACAAAACAATAAATTAAAAAACGCATTTCAGGCGTGCGCGCACAAACGTCAGCGTTTTCCGTCAATGGTTCGGGTTTCTCTTCTGCAAAAATTACACCTTCCATGTTTAATAAATAAGACGGAACTTATTGGGCCTGGGTCACAACTCCTGGGCCTGGTGTCATGACCCCACGAGCACCTCCATGATGTGTTCCAAATCGGAGAGCTCCGCTTTCCACTGCGACGCGGGCGTCCCCGACGCCTCGCTGCCGCACGCCACCGGGAAGCACCGCAGCCACGAGTCTCCGCTTCCATCGCTTTCTCCACCACCGTAACCAGCCGCCAAGACCGGCGCGATTCCACCACAACCATCGCCGCCGCCGCCGCCATCGCTGGCGCTGCCGGCGGCGCAGCTCGCGAGCACTCCCGGAGAGAAGAGGTCAAAGTCGTAGAGCGCCGTGTCGATCTTGGCAAATATGTCGTCGAGCGTGTGCGAGAGGTCCATGGCGAGGTGCGCGGGATCTGGGCCGCTGAGCCCGGCCGCCTGCAGCAGGGAATCGGTCAGCGACACCGTCGTCAGCTCCGAGCCCTCGTCCCAGCCGCAGCTTGGCTTCCAGAAGAGCTCTTCGGTAGGCCATGCGACCGGTGCCGCCACTTCTGCTGGCGCTGCAGCGGCTGCCGCCGCCAACGCGCCGCGCCGAGACTCTTCGCCGCTGCTCCACGGCGCCGGTGACCGCACGGCTGCCGCGGCATCAACCTCGGCAGACGCAGCCCTCAGCGGAGTGTTGGGCACGAGCGGCTCGCGGGTCGCGAGGTCCACCGGCGGCGTCGTCGCTCTCGCGTCGAGGAGCTGCGCCGGCGTCGTCGCCGTCGCGGCACCGCGGGGCCTCCGCCGTTTGGCACGCATGTCCTTCTTCAGCCGGTGCGTCATGTTGGCCACGAGCACCGAGCGCCGGAGGCAGGGCTCGCGGTGGGCACGGTACGCGTTCATCTTGGCGATCGACAGGCAAAGGGCGCCCTGCATCAGCTCCGAGTCTGGGGGGCGGTCCCCCCCACTGCCGCCCCCACGGCGACACCGCTTCGTGGGGGGGCCCCCTTGCTCGGCCCAGTCCTCGTCCACCGCCCACCACTCTTCCTCCTCCATCGCCTCGGTGTTCTCCATCTCGTTGTCGTCATTGTCGTCGTCGTCCGCTGCCGATGTCGTCATCGCCGCGGGGCCCGGGCCGCGGTCGTCGCGGCTCCAGGAGTCCCCGGCGCGCTTGCGTTTGGCAAAGTGGCTCAGCAGCGCCTCGATGGCCTGCGTGACAACCGGCGGGGGCGGGGACAGGTGGACAGGCGAGAAAAAGGCGTTCAGAGGGATACCGGGATCAGATTCAACGTCGCGATAGGTGTCTCGCCACCACGTCACAATTTATCACAATAACGTGCCAAACGGTATTTCATCACTCATGAAGGGACGACTCAGGTGCAAGGAGCCACAGCGAGGCCGGTGAACCAGTGCCAAATCATCCCCCAAAGCTCTGCGGCTCACTATATATTAAGATGTATTTAGCCTATGCATGAGCGTTTATACATGTTGGAGGAAACTGGAGCAGTCGCGGAAAACCCAACGCGTGCCAGAGGGCAACACTGATACAGATGGAACCGGTGCAGCCCACGTGTTGCTGTGCCGCCGTCTCCTGGTGAGCCAGGGTATTGCACGTCCCCGACACCCACCTGGGGAGGGAGTTGCACAAAGAATCGTGCGAGCCACCGACCCTCACTAATTCTGCAGCGCTGCATTGCAGGCCACGTTGCTTAGCCACCTCCGTGGCGAAAGACAGAGCTGTGTGCGCGACTGCAGAAACACCGACAGCAGGGTCGTAGCGAACCGCCATGAACTTACAACCATTCAACAGGAGGCACTAAAGTAAATCCCCCCCCCCCACATCAGCCGAAGCCGTTTCCTGGCCGAGCTAATCTGGACGTAGCATTGTGGGTTGCCATTCATCCAGTCACTCGCAAGAAGACGACCGTGTCAGGGGGAGGATGCTGATCAGGAACAGTGCAAATGCTGCGATTCATTAAAAAAACTCTCACGCTGATAAGTGTAACAAATGGCAAGCGTAAAAAAAGATGCCAAGGGATTTTCTGCCAATGATATGATAACGCTGTCACACGTTCAGACTAATGCGGTAAAACAAAACACAACAAGGTGGCATAGATGAGCACAGAGCAATGAGACAGATACAAACGAGACAGAGCGAATGAAAAGACACAAATGAGGTGCAACACAGAGGGGACACAACGCAACGTAGAGACAGTGCAAAGGAGACGCAACACAGAGGACACCCAACACAGAGGAGACAACACAGAGACACAACACAGAGGACACCCAACACAGAGGAGACAACACAGAGATGCAACGCAGAGGACACCCAACACAGAGGAGACAACACAGAGACCCAACGCAGAGGACACCCAACACAGAGGAGACAACACAGAGATGCAACGCAGAGGACACCCAACACAGAGGAGACAACACAGAGATGCAACGCAGAGGAGACAACACAGACGCGGCGCAATGGAGAGGAGACGCAACGCACACTTAACAACATCACAAAGGAGACTACAATAACACAATTGATGCCCGAATCGGCACCTTGAAATCGGGGTGGGAGGGGCATCCAGCAGGTACCCACCAACTCTCCCTCCTCTGTGCTCTCAGCAGTCACCATGCGAGTTTCCCCCTTGGTATAGTTTCCCCCTTGGTATAGGGGAGATCCCCGATCCCCCCCGCCCCGCCCGCCCGCAGAGCTGGTCGGGGTGACCTCACCGCTACCGACTGCCACAGGACACCCCCTAAAATTCCTTTTTAAACCACGCGTGGGAAATTGGGCCGCGGGATTTCACCTCTCCCGATACGTCCACGCAAAAGGCTCTCGTCGCCGCAACGATCGCCGGACACGGACCCTGTGTCCGCTGTCGAACCGCACGACAACAAATGCCAACGCACACACACTAAGGTTGGTGGGCTGTTCCACCACGTAAATACAACTTACGTCCCATCAGCCGACGAGCTTTCGAAAGGGCTGTTCCACCACGTAAATACAACTTACGTCCCATCAGCCGACGAGCTTTCGAAACAAATCGTTTTGCTTCAGCGGACGTGTGTTTATACGGGGCAAACCCTGGACAGGGTTTTTTTTTGTCGTGGTATGTCTCACCAGAAAGTATCAAACATAGGTTCCTTGGTTTAAAGTAATATCGAAATCATGTTTGTTTAGTCTATCAGCATACGTGCCCTCTGGTCCAAATATTTCCACAGCAGTATTTGATTGAAGCAGTAAACACCCGGCCGCTATTTTTGATATTCCGAGTCCCATCAGCAGACTTTTAAGATGCAAATGTTCTTGGGTTATAATAAGCGAATCTACAAGCATAAGCGCCTCCTGGATGAATGATTTACAGCTGCAATTGCAGTGAACTTCCTTGTTATTTCAAAACGGGGTTTTCTCTCTGCAATACCGAGCAAATGTCAAGCCAAATATCCACCGTTGTAACAGATACAGATGGTGCAGACAGACAGAGATTAGAGCTTCAGTTACAGTCAGTTAACCCACTGAGAACGACATGTAAATTGTTAAAGGTAGGCCTGGGTTTAAAAAGTCACGGCCAAAGATTAAACCAGACATCCTTACAAATGAGAATTGTAGACTTTACACCCAGAGACTTACACACAGTACCCAGACTGACCGTAGCCTTAAATAAATAAACCCATCGATTCGCAGAGAATCCACATACTTAGAAAGAAAGACCCAGATACCCAGACTAGAAGACCCATATAGACTTGCACATATATCCACACAAAACGACACCCACAGACAAACAGATCCACACACTTACAAGAGACTCATACAGTGGCCAATCTACAGACCCGCATAAATAAGTTACAGTGACCCATATGTATACATTGAATTCCATAGACTTAACACACGGCATAACACAAGTAACATAACACAGGACAATAAACACATAATCAAACACAGAGCGTAACACAGAATGACACAAATAACACAGTACACAGCATAACATACGCATGCCTACACTATATTCACACAGCATCATGCACCCTAACACACAGCATACAAGGCACACACGCACTTCACGCAACTTCACACAGCATACACAACACAAGTCACACCACACATGCACAAGCAACACACATACAGACAAAACATAAAACAGGCATAAAGCCCATACCAAACACACGTACACAACAAACATAGTATGAACACACATGCTCTACAACAGCAGTATAATACAAAGACACTGCAACACACAGCATAACACACACAGCAAATGGCACAACACGGATACAGCATAAACACACAGCACAACACGGACAGCATAACACAACCTTGCAATAACAAACAACACAGCAAACAGTAAACTATAAAACAAATAGTATAACAGTAAAACGCGCAATGCGTAACGGAGAGAAACAGCATAAACACACACACAGCAGCCGAACCTTCATCTCGATTGGCGCGAGGGTTGACTTGACCATACTTCACCACGCCGGTCACGTTGAACAAAATAACACTCGCCGCCCGCATACCTCGGCGTGACGGGCCTACCGACCGGCGCGGTGAAGTATGGTCAAATCAAGAGATAACCCCGTCCATCCGGCAGTGGATTGAAGGGCTGCTGCTGCACATACGACGTGCCACGCACACGTAGACCCTTTGCAGCAGCAGCAGCAACAACAACAACAAGAGGGCCTGTCAATCAATCGCGGGCGGTGGCGAGTTTGGCGACCCCCCCTTGACGGGCGCGAGTCGCGCGGGGTCACTCTTCGGCAGTGGCCTCGATTGATTTGTTTCAAAACAACAAAATACCGTAGAACTCTCTCGTACACCCCCCCCCCCCCACCGGCGATAACCTTCTAACTTTTCCGATGGGGGGGGGGACGGGGGGTAACAAAGAGTAAAATTTTTGACTTAAAGCTTTCGTGACTGCTGTCATTCATATTCTTTGGGTCTTTCGGTAAAGTCACGTAGAAGAAAGATAAATGTAAATTGTTGTTCTTTTCTTTGAACCTATCTACGTGACTTTACCGAAAGACCGAAAGAATATAAAAGAAAGAGTTGCGCCCGGTTTTCGGATTAAATAAATATACCTCGATACTTTGACCTCCTCCCCCCACACTGACCTCCAGCACCGTGCGGTCCGAACGTGTCCCTTGATCTGGGGCGCCTCTCGCCGCCTATGTTCGAAGCCCCCCCTCCTCCTCCTTAGGCAGCCCCCCAATATAGTACCCCCCCCCCTCCAACACCACCAACACCGCCCCCCTCCTCTCCCTGGAGATCGTCACCCACTCACTCGGCCAGGAAAGTTTCCAAAGTCCCCCCCCCAACCCCCATTCGATCGTCACGCTTTGAGTTGGCAAGCGGCCAAAACAAAGTAAGTCTCTATTGCCTCGTTTGTCGTCGTACCGAGCACCACGCGTACTGTAAAGCACAATGAGTATCACGCTCGCTCCGCGATGAGTCTCCGTTATATACACCGAGTCGCTGGTACATTTGAGCCGGAGTTCTCTTCGAGGCACTCGGCACCCGTGGGTTCCAAGTACCAGGCTCTAAAGTACGTTTAAGTCTAAAGTACATCTGAGCCTCAATTACCTGTCAATCCCAAGTGCCTATGAGTCTCAAGTACTTGAGTCCCTTGTGCCCATGAGTCCCAAGCACCTACGAGTCTGAAGTACCTACGAGTCCACAGTACCTACGAGTCCCAAGTCCCTAGGAGTCTTAAGTACTTGAGCACCATGTAACCCACAAGTCCCAAGTGCCTACGAGTCTGAGCAACCTAGGAGTCTCAAGTACCCACAAGTTCCATGTACCGATGAGTCCCAAGTTTCTACGAATCTCAAGTCCCTATGAGTCTCGCCCAACCTCCGAGTCCCAGTATACCTATGAACCCAAGCACCTACGAGGCCCACCAGGAACACACACACACACACAAACATGTGTGTGTGTGTGTTCCTGGTGTGAGTAGATATGAAGTCCCGGGTTACCTGCGTGTTCGCAAGTCTGTGCGGCAGCCGCGTCGGCGCCGAGGGTCGTCGCTTCTGCCGAAGGAGCTCGAGGCGAGCTTCACGCCAAGCCGGCCGGGCGGGGATGGTGATGTGGTGGTGGTGGGGGGAATCCCGGGGCGACCGAGTGGCCAGTGACGTGCGTCCTCCCCGGTTAAACACCCGTCCCCGAATGGTATCGGGACATTGCCCTCCCCGGCACACGCGGCACGCGACCTCCTCCTCCCTCCCACCCATCCACCCACCCACCTCGCTCAGCCTCCCAGCTCCTCCCATGCACCCCCCAGAGACACAATCACCACCAACACCAACATCACCAGCAGCAAAGACAAAGATCCCCCGTGTAGGCTGTAACTGAGTGTTGGGGCAAGTGCTGCTAGCGTGTAGCACATATGCAGGCCGAAGCTGTGTCACACGAGGGGGAGCCAACACCACGCCCGGCCGCCTTTGTCTCCCCAGTGGCGATGTTTTTACGCACCGCACCATTTGAGGCCGAGTCGACCATAGGGGGAACCCACGACCAGGTTCAGATAATGGTCACCGGTGTTGGCCGTGAGCGGGAATCGAACTCGGGACGCCGGGTTCGTAGCGTGGCGTGATGACCGTTAGGCTTACCGCTCACCATCAACACCACCACCACCATCATCATCACCACCATCATCATCTTCCTCTCCCATAGCCCCCCCCATCACCCATGTGGTAGCGCGTCACTGACCCAGCTACCGGCAGCATCACGAGCGGGAAGCGCTCGTCACGGATGCGTCACTGCTAGAGCAGTGGCGTGGGTGTGTGTCTCGACACTCACACAGACACCCACACAGACACTCACACAGACAGACACTCACACAGACATAAACTCACTCACACATAGACATACACTCAGTCACACACAGACATAAACTCACTCACACATAGACACACACTCACACAGACGTACACTCACTCACACAGACAGACACACACCCACACTCACATAGACATACACTCACACTGACAGACACTCACTCACACATAGACATACACTCACACACTCACACAGACATACACTCAGTCACACATAGACATACACTCACTCACACATAGACATACACTCACTCACACATAGACATACACTCACACAGACAATGACATACACTCACTCACACATAGACATACACTCACACACACACAGACATACAGACACTCACACAGACACTCACACAGACATACACTCAGTCACACACAGACACTCACTCACACAGACATAACCTCACTCACACATAGACATACACTCACACAGACACAGTTGGTGCCCATCACTCACAGAGACAAACATTCTCCCAACCATTCAGTGGCACGGCATGTGAAATCCCCTAATAGGTGGGGGCATCCTCACACTGTTACGGGTCGTGGGGTGTATTTGACCATACTTCACCCGCGTTGGTCAGTGCCCTCTCCCACTCGCCACGCGCAGCCCCATATCAGCAGCAGCAACAGCTTCTAACACAATGTGTGGTGATGCATGGTGGTGGTATCCATCCTAGCACTGGCCAGGCTCTAACTTTACGTGGCTTCCCAATTCTGACGACAGCGGTCGCATTCCGGGCGGTTCAGTCACAGGTAGAGTGGCACGGCAATAACAGGAACACAATAACAACAAAAACAATGAAAAAGGTCCCCCCGTATAGCCTGAACAGACCGTTGGGGCAAGTGTTGTTGGCGAGTCAGCACCTATGAAGGCCGGCATGGCACACGAGGGGGTGGGTGGCCAACACCACGCCCGGCCGCCTTTGTCTCCCCAGTGGCGATTGTTTACACATCGCACCGAGTATTAAGTTAAGGCTGAGTCGACCTAGGAGAGGACCTGGACCGGTTCAGTTAATTGTCACTGGTCTTGGCCCTAAGCGGGAATCGAACTCCGGTCGCCGAGTTCGTAGCGCAGCGAGCTGACCGCTACATTACCGCTCACCCACAACAGAAACACAACAACAAACAACAACACATGCATACAGAGAAGCAAACAAACAACAGTCATAGACGTTCAGATAGAGGCCATACAGACCACACAAACACAATAAAGATAACGACCCCCCCATGTAGCCCTACAGACTCTTGGGGTCAAGTGCTGCTGTGAGCTCGCATCTAGGCAGGCCGCCACGTTACAGCATCCAGCACATCACACATACACTACTGAACATACGGACACAATGCAACGTGTGTAGCGCATGTGTACAGCTCGCAAAACCACTGACAATACTTCACCACACTGTGGTCAGTGCGGGTTGGTTGAATGGGTATGTATGTACGGTGACCGGTTTAAATATCACCGTATGTAGCCAACCGTGATAATCGGAGGGGCGGGGGCAGTACAACTTTAACTTATGTAACATAGTAAGCAACTCGATGTAATTTACCAAGCTTGAAATTTGTCTTAAGTCTATATTTCAATTCCCCCCACGTGACGTTAGCACGGTTGGCTACGTACGGTGCGAAAGAAGTTCAACGTACATCATTACAACGAGCAACCTGAACGTCTTTTGGACGTGACCGACCGTCTGTCCGTCCGTCCCACCCGCCAGCCAGCTAAACTTTGTTTTTTTCTAATACAGTACGATTATCCATTATGTGTGCGCTACCGTGGGGAGTTATTGTCGTAAACATATATATATTACAATTTGAGACGAAGGTATGTCTTTGCCCATCACGTTTTAACATGTTAGACGTCCCATATGAGACTCTGGGAACAATCATTTCCAATTACATTGGTCAACACGGGAAAACTGGACACAGGTTCCAAGGACATTGATTCCAGCCTCCAAAAAGGCCAATGGAATAAAGTAACGTCAAGACGGACTCTAATCTGGTTATTTATTCTTTAGTTTATATGTAAAACCCCATTGTTTTTTTTGTAAAACCAGTCTGTCGTGTTGTAAACGAGCTGCTATCTCTCGCTGGGCACCCCACACCACGCCTCTCATGCTAATCGCCTCCCGAACCCTCCACGCACACCATCTTCCAGTCCCCACTGCACCACCCCAACCGCCCCCGCTCGTATATTGATCAGCGGAGAACCCCCCTAAGAACTAAACTAAATAATGTTTTATTTGACCAGGTAAGGCCCACTGAGCTATGTAGCTCTTTTTTAGAAGTGACCTGGCCACGAATGATAGCTAAACGAAGTGGCTTATCACGTGGAAATTTATAGCAGCCAAATACTCTAAACTCTGAACAGAGCAGAGCCGGAATTCCCAAAATGTATTCCCACTTCCCGATATAATAACCATCATTGCCACAACAACTCGCAACCACAACGATCGCCTTCATCACCCCCATTTACCCCCCACAACCATCACCATCGCCGTTATTCACAACTATTACCACCACCATTACCATCAACGATCATCACCATTACTCCTCATCACAACCATGACCGACCATTTCCACCGCAACAGTTATCAACATTATTTAACCACAATTACCACCGCTGCAATCACTATCATCCGCAACTCCGATCAGCACGGTTGGTTGGCGACGTACGGTTGCGTGCGCACGTGCAACGCACATGCACACACGCATCACTGCACTAACATGAGCCGCAACATCTGCGCTCAATTAACAATGTAGGAGACACGCGCCGAATACGCGCGTTATGCTAATCGAGGGGCGTTATGCTAATGTTGGCGAGGAGCCGCGGGGGTGCGCGCGTTGAGGAATGAGACCGGCCCGACCACTCATCCTGGCCCGGCCAGCGCGAACCCCAGACTATGCATAGAAACCAAGAGCCGTAAAACATGAACAAATAAATTAAACAGATGCACAGGCTCAACTTGCACACAGAATCACGGGATTCGTATACGTTGCATGAAGGTTACTTGCCAGGTGAAGGAGTCTTCCTCTAAAAGGGAATTCATTCCAAATTTACTTAACTCGGTCTGTCTTTAGCCGCTGAGGTCGTGACTGATTTTGTTTTCATTCTTGTTGCTCTATGGCCCTGTGATGTGCACTGATGCCCACTTTTTGAGGGCGATATTGGCACATAAAATATAGGTTGATAGATCGATTGACAGAGTTTAAGGTGTATAGGGACTTCCTGCACATCTACCTATATAACATACTCTTTGGGTCTTTAGGTAAAGTCACGTAGATAGATTTTTTTTTTTAAAATC